AGGGAATTTGCGTGCACTTGGGTTGTGTTTGACGTCTACATGTCGCGTCATGTCTCCCCTATTCTTACACTGATAGGGACAGGAATCACAAATAAACAATTTGTCACCTGTCGAGCTACACGGCTTGTAGCTTACAATATCGCTCGATCCAAACACGAACATAGCCAGGAGACGATTGAAAAAGATTCAATTAAAGCATACCAAAAAAAACTTTGAAGTAAAAAAAAATATGGCCTTGTGGTTTTTTGATTGACACTTTTTTGATAAAGAAAACACAATGTAATGCAAAGTCGATACGTTTTTCGTGAATTTCACTATTTGCTGTTTGAATAAGGAGTTTGCCTATTTTCATTTGAACAAAGGAATTGAACTGAACTAGAGAAGAAATCAAAATTCAAACTGAAAAAAATGAAACTTGAGCATGAACAAATTTTAAGACCGTTTCCTGGAAAAATATACAACAAAAAATCATCAGAACGTATAGCAGATACTCTACTAAGTTCATTAACTCTTAAATAAACCATATAAACTGGAATAACAACAATCTCAGCTGGGGCAAGCTGATTTAGCAAAACGACTTATAATAATTGAAACCGTATTTTGTTGATGTATTTTGAAATCGTATTTGCACGATCAAAGGAAACACAAGTTCAAAGAGAACGGTCTTATTGCAGAATCGCATAAACAAGCTTATAAATTATTAGTTGCTAACAACAATTACCGGCAAGTTGGAATTATCATAGAATGTACTACGTTAAAAAAGTACCTGACGATAGATTTTTGAATGGGACGCAACAGTTTATTGCATTCCCCAATGATGCTTATGAAAGAAACTAGGCGTGAACACGAGAAGTTGTTTGCAGTGTAATAAAACAGAATCTTATGACCACATCATGTGATGCTAAGAGTTTGACGAATAATAATAAATTTAAACACAGAGGCGAAGCTTCGGTTCGCAAACACTTGCGAGGAAAATGCAAAAAAGAGCTCTAAACAGGCAAAACAAAATGAAATAAGGGTAAGAGTAAAAAATACACCTTGAGAATTGTTTTAGTGAGATTAGGAGTATTACGTTGCCAAATCTGCTCCACGTTCGCTTGTAACTTTACTACACTATCCACCAAAAAAGCAGCTACAGTTTCTATCAAATTGCCAATACTACGTAAAAAAAACTCGAACACAAAAAACTATTTCAATGTTCCGGATTTGAATATCCGGCCTGTTGATTAGGAGTCTCAGGTCCTCGCATCTGCCCAGCTGCTTTAAAAATTTTTTTTATCATATATTGCACTTATTCTGAAATGCACAAAACCTACTGAAAAGCGCAAAACGTAAAAAAACAATGGACTTCACGCAAAATCCTAGCCATTTCTCTGCATAAAGATGGGATTAGTCGCTGATTTAAAAGAGAACACTGCTACTCGCTCTTTCAATTGACTCCTTTATCTCAGATTTGTCTGAGTTTTTTTGCGAAGTGAAAAAAAAATCCAAAAAACGACCAAAATAAAGAGTTTTATTTTTACTGGAACCACAATCTTCTCTCTACTAAAACATGGGAAAAGCTTCTTACTGCAGAGAAGATGTCCACACCTTGATTTATTCATCGAACCCTTGAAATCAGATTTAGCTAATAGTTTCTGCTTTTCTATAAATAAATAGCCAGATAGCGCAGGAAAAATGTTAGTTTGAATGTTAGTTTGAATGAACAAACAACTTCAGAATCAGCAGGTTAGTTGTTGAAAAAACAAAATAAGTTTATAAAATTGGGTAACAATTCAAAAACTGGATATTGTTACGGCCATAGTTTTTTCAATACGCAGGGCATAGCCACTTGCCCAAGGAACATTCGCATAACTTTCGGTTAAACCCTTAATCTCCGATTTTGCAAGGTAGTTTCTGAGAAAAGTCAAAAAATGGGCTTTTTTTAGGTCATAACTTTTTTCTAACGATATTAGTGAGCAGCCTCGAAAGAAAGCGAAAACCACATATTTTTTCATTTGATTGAAACTCTCATCTCAGATTTGTGTATTTTAAACTTGAGAAAAAGAAAAAAAATCAGGTTAGTTGTTGAAAAAACAAGATAAGTTCATAAAAATTGGGTAACAATTCAAAAACTGGATATTGCAACGGCCATAGTTTTTTCAATACGCAGGGCATAGCCACTTGCCCAAGGAACATTCGCATAACTTTCGGTTAAACCCTTAATCTCCGATTTTGCAAGGTAGTTTTTGAGAAAAGTCAAAAAATGGGTTATAACTTTTTCTAACGATATTAGTGAATAGCCTCAAAAGAAAGGGAAAACCCCATATTTTTCCATTTGATTGAAACTCTCATCTCAGATTTGTGTATTTTAAACTTGAGAAAAAGAAAAAAATCATAAAGATGTCAAAATTTCCTATTCTGAAAATTTCGAAGGCCGTTAAACGTGGTAGTTCAAAAAAGACAAGCAAAATAAGCAAAAACTTTTTTGGAAAATTGCTACAGTAGTTTTGGAGAAAAATTGAAATTTCTGCGAAAAGTGCAAAAATTTCGCAAAGTGTCGCAAAAAAACCCATACATTTTCATAATACCTGTTTTTTTTTCAAACAGGAACTAACACTAGCCAAAAACAAAGTAGCAAAATTTGCTTTAAATTTGCATATGCTTAAATAGGCTTAAAAATGATGAAATATACCAAAAGTGCGACCAAATGAGCTATTTTAAATGCGACCTAGATAAGAAATTTTCTCAAGTTAGGTTCGTTATTTTTCCTAGTGTTTTGGCTATTTTTAACCTCCTGAGAGCATTTGAATTTTGGCGAAAAAAAGCTCTCCCGAGAGAAGATATTTTGCAGCGCATCCAAATCAAAAACATTTGATCGGCTGAAAAGCAAATTAGACCGAAGAGCAAAAAGCTCACACAAACTTTCGTCACAGGCAGAATTTTCAAAACAATTTTTGGGAATACAAATCAGGAGTGACAGAGATTCAAATTGACAATAGCGCAAAAAATCACGCTACACCATAGTTACTTCCCTTTCGGTAGGAAGAAACGTCTTGTTCACATCAGAATAACACTTCGGCCACTGAATTTGCTTCAATTCAGGACATCTATCACCTCTTTTGTTGAGGGTTATACAAGATATTGTAAGCTACTGTCCTGAAAAGTTCTTTGAAGGTTCCTTGAGATCCATTTTGCTCGAGTGGTGGTTTCAATGCATTGAAATTTGGCGGATTAATTTGCCTGACTAGTTTTGTCTTTTTGGGGACAACAGATCCTGGGATTCCTGAGATCCGTTTACGACTAATTTGCTCGACTAGTTTCAATTCGTTTGAAAAATCGGAACGTATCTCCCTGATGTTTGCTAAACCCACTAAGCGATCTCTAAATTGATCATAGCAGTTCAAGATAAGTTCCTTTCTCTCTTCCAAGCAAGATTCAGCAAAGCAGAAGCTGATCATCCAAGAAGTTGCAATCATATTTTTGAGATTGAGGCAACAAGAACAATATCTTTCAAATTTTCTAAAAACTAAAATCCCATTTTAACCCAATATAAATAATTTGATAACTAGCCGAAGTTACCGAAGCATGGGTGCGTTCTAAAGCGTATCTCAAATTGGTCTAATGGTACAGTGCTGATTTAAATTATCCGGACAAAACGAACAAAACTTGAATTTTCAAACGCGTTTTTCTCAAATTGGGTTCAGATTAGACAAAAAGTGAAGAGGACAAAAGTTGCTTAGAATTTCACCAGAATTAATATGGTGCCATTTTTTCTCCGAAATTCTCAACAAAAATTTTACCCCAAAAATGGGTCATTTTGGCTTTTTTCAATTAATCAAAAATTACGCTGAAACTACTTTGTTAATTGATATGAAAATTATATCACAGGAAGCCTCTTACGCAGCTCAACAAAGTTTAACAAGGGTTAAATCTCCAAAAACCAGTATAAATGAAAAAATTTTTACTTGATAGTCAATAAATGTGATTTTTACTATATAAAACCAGAATCTCTGTTTAAAAATAAAATTTAAACAATTTGCGCAAATTTTTGGAGATTTAAAAACCCTTCTTAAACTTTGTTGAGCTGCGTAAGAAGCTTCCTGTGACATAATTTTCTTATCAATTAAAAAAGCAGTTTCAGCGTAATTTTTGATTAATTGAAAAAAGCCAAAATGGCACCATATTAATTCTGGTGAAATTCTAAGCAACTTTTGTCCTCTTCACTTTTTGTCTTATCTTAACCCAATTTGAGAAAAACGCGTTTGAAAATTGAAGTTATGTTCGTTTTGTCCGGATAATTTAAATCAGCACTGTAGTTAGTATCAACAATATAAGAATCAGTTCTGTAGATAAACCATATACCCTCCCAAATTTAATCTAAATATTTTCTAGTTTTATCAGTCTTATAACATAACATGGTCCCACAGTGTTCGCATTGACCTTACCTAAAAACACTGTTTTTTCGTCCGGAATAATCGAAGGTAATGTTATGGTCTGACCAAACTATCAAGAAAAAAGATTTCAACTCTCTTCAGGGGCGGATTTAGTGAGTGTGGGGGGGGGGGGGGGGGGGGGGGGGGGGGGTGGATTCTCTTCTCAGGGATTCCACCCCCTGCCAACCCAATGGGTCCCCCTTTGTATTATTTTGAGACAACCATTTTTGGTGATGGACCCTAAATTTTTTCTAAAGGCGCCAATAAAAACTAATTTTGAGGGGGGAGCGCGCGCTGAAAAAACGCGATTTTTTGGTCAAAAATTGCCTAAAACGCCTTTTATGGTCTGTTTTTTTCAAAATTCTGCCTGTGGCGCAGAAAATTTGGTCACAATTGGGCTTTATAATGATTTAGGAGAGCTAAGAAAATCAATTTGGTTGACCTAAAAAAAGTCGACAAATTTTTCGAAATTTTTTGAAAATGCGCCCCCCCCCCCCTCGAGAAAATCCTAGATCCTCCCCCTGACTCTTTTATCTGGGCCATCCAATTTATCTTGGATATGCTTATAGCGAAGAAAAAGATGCTTAAAAGTTAGATTATAATATACTGAAATTGCATTGCTGTGCCTTGCCATGATGGGTTCACTATCTAAAATCATTACGCAATTTACTATTTTCAAACTCTACATGCCCATGATGCCATAACCAAATTATAGACGATTTTTTGATCAACTAAAAATTCATTATAACTTTTAGGAATTAACTTATGGGTTAAATTAATAAAAACTTATTAGTTAAATAAACGCAACTGCATCCAATTAGATGAGACGACTGAAAGTCCAAAATCCAGAAAGCATCGAATGTAACTCGCTGAACAACAAGCACCGGTACCGCTTTAGTTATGTGCGTGAGCAAGGGTAAAAAAATAGTTCCCTTTTTCACAAACAAGGTCGAATAAATGAGTTGCGATAACAAAGTTCACTGAAATGCAAAATAATTCAAATAAAAGCGCTTGCAAATGTTGTGAATTGCTCGAATTCGATTGATATGTAAAGAATAGCGCACAAATAGAAGAATGGGTTTCACATTGAATATAATCATAGAAGAAATTAGTTTTATGGACCGTTATACTTAACAGAAGGTGAAGCGATGACTTCGGCAGCCCGTTATAGCCCCATTAAAAGAATTTCACACTAAACATTGACGTGCATTGGGCAAAAAATGCACCCAATTTGAAAAATGTATTTTGGTTCGAAATTAATTGTTTTAAATTGCTTTTTTGCAGAGCTCTCTACTTCTTGTAGAGTTGATGGCGATGAGCTAGAAACCTCGGAGAATATACCATCCCAGAAGCTGCTACCATCCAATGAAGACAAAAGATCATTCGGTAGACATAGGGCCCGATGGTACTACTTTTTTATCGCCTCTTTTCATGTTCCTCTTGAAATCATCAACCCCTTGAAGACCTAAAATAAAATCGGGTCATACCTACCAAGAAATGGAGGCAAGTTTGTTGTTGATATAAATCATACTAAAACTTAATACTTTTTTATTAACTGGCTAAAACTGTTTTGATGAAAACTATTTTGATCACTGCGATGAAAAATATTTAATCAAAGGGGATAAACTCGAGCACAATAATTGCTTATCGCATTATTTGTCAATGCAAATTAACTTCTATTGAAGCAAATCATTTCAATGAGTTCAATTCAAAAATTCCTTTAATAAATATGATTTTTGAGGCCTAAATCTCATAATATATCTTGCAAATTTGTATCTTTTTGTCGAAGTGCTTGATCGAGGCACTAGATTCTGAATTAATACGCAGGTTAGATTGTTGTTAGTACACTCTTCCAAATAGCTCCGGGTATTTCTCTAGAAGGCAAACTGAATGACCATCGAGGTTTAAATTTACTGATTTTTAAATTCAAGTTTAGTTGAACCTGGATTTCGTTGGTGAATTAACTTGCCTTTGTTGGGCAGTACGGGTGTGATTCTGGGCATGTTGGGCTGGGACTGGGACGGAGTATTGCTGCCACTAACATTGCCTCCTCCTGTTCCTACTCCACCAGGGGTCATCTGGCCACCCGGAACACCACTGCCACTGTTGCCACCACCACCTCTACTGTTAACAAAACTCCACTTATCAGATATATTCTATTAATTACATATCAGATCTATTCTATTTCTATTAATTATATATCAGATCTAATCTATTAACTACTTATCAGATCGTTTCTATCCGTTGCATATCAGATCTATTCTATTAAGTACATATCAGATCTATTCTATTAATTATGCATCAGATCTAATCTATTAATGATATAGTAGATCAATTCTATCGATTACAAATCAGATCTTTTCTATTCGTTGCATATCAGATCTATTCTATTTTATCAATTACATCAGATCTATTCTATTAATTAAAAATCGGATCTGTTTTTAGTTATATATCAGATCTATTCAATAGAATACACATCAGATCTCTATTCTAATAATTACATATCAGATCTATTCTATTAATTGCATACCAGATATATTCCATTAACTACATGACAGATCTATTCTAATAATTACATATCAGATCATTTCTATTAGTTGCATATCAGATCTATTCTTTTAATTACATATCAGATCTATTCTAATAATTATATATCAGATATATTGTAATAATGACATATGAGACCTAATCTATTAATTACATATTAAATCTTTTCTTTTAATTACATATCAGATATATTCCATTATTTTTATATCAGATCCTTTCTATTAATTACATATCAAATCTTTTGAGTTAATTACATATCAGATCTAATCTATTAATTACATATCACATCTTTTCTTTTAATTACATATCAGATCTACTCTTTTAATTAAATATCAGATCTAATCTAATAATTACATGTCAGATCTAATCTAATAATCACATATCAGATCTTTTCTATTAGCTACATATCAGATCTGTTCTATTAATAACATGTCAGATCTAATCAAAAAATCACATAGATCTTTTCTATTAATTACATCTATTTTTAAGGAGAAGAAAATCGCGCTCAATTTTTAAAAGTCAGTTAAAACCTGCTTTAATTAAAGCCGAGAGACTTCCTTTGTTCAAAAGCAACAACTTGTGACAACGTGTCGCGCTAACATGGTGCGAGCCTTGCCTACAGTGGGTAAGGCTCTACACGAAAAATTAGAATTGGAGCCGGTTTCGTATCTGACTGTTCTTTAGTTCGTTTCATAAGTACTGTTTTGTATGAGTTTTGAATATGCATCAATTTTTCGATTACTTTGAGCTATAAAATGCGGCCGCATCGTCATATAAAATAATCAAGAAACCACGTGAGCTTCAAAATTTTGGCTGGCAGGAAGAGGCAATTGCCACTTACCAATAATCGTCTAATAATACTTTGAATTTAATTCGGTCTTTTTTATGTGTATTACAACATCTATAATAAAATGCCATCAAAAAAAATCTTACAAGACAAGAAAGCCGCTCAGTTATAAACAAATCGAAGAAAATTCAAAAATAAGAAAAACTAGATCTATCAAAACGAACAAGGATAGTTTTGAAACAAAAACGTGCCATGACAATTGAATGTAAAATTAGTATCGAAAGAAAGGTAACCGAGGAAAAACAAAGCCGAGAATACCTTAGCATAAACCCTTTAAGCCGAAAAAATGAACAATAATTATAAAAAATTATTACGTCCACCTCACCATCAACTCACACTCACTCACACACACGCACACAAACAAATAAAAAATTTATGAGGCCACTACGCCGTCATTATATAGGCCGAAACCTATCAAACTGAAAAAACGAAACAAAAAATCAACAAAAAAAAATAAAATTTTAACTAATCAAGAAGGTTAAATTACAACCAGCATAAAACATTTTGAATAGGACAGATATATAGGCCAAAAGATATCTGCAGCGTTAACTTGTTGATAACAGAGGCTTCTAGGAAATGAGTTCAGATGATTCCTATGAACAAAGTTGTTTTTGGGGGAAAAAAGTCTAGTACCCGATTGCAGTACCCTTGCTTATCGCAACGGTAAAAAAGGATTTGAAAGTATTCGTGAAATTATGAGTCTCACGCTCAAACCACTCAGCCACGGACGCTTATTTTTTTTACAAACACTAGCTTTAAATAAAGCAGAGAACAAATGCTAAGCAATTTCCAATGCTACAGTGAGATTTCCATATCGGGGAACACTTTTATTTGCGAGTTAGTTTAGAAAAAAAGAAGGTTCGTACTAGTACACTAAAGCTCGCAGGCTCGCTTGGCTTGTGTGAACAAGAGATTCTATAATATCCCGAAGTTCAGTGTCAACTCTGTTGATGAACTTACATTGAGGGAGGAGTCTGAACTGGTTTGCTAGGCTGTTGCTGTTGTCCTGGTCGAACTGCTTTCACTAAAATACAGGATGTTTAAAAAAACCGTACAGCATGTTATTTTGCGAACGAATTTGATCCATGTGATCCTCAAGGTGGGAACGACTACGGCAAAATGGACGATACCCCCCTTACCCAGGATGGTCCTGAAGTGAACTTTAAAAAAAAATTGACTATAATTTTGAAGAAATAGGTTGCGTTTGTAATTTGACTTCAAAGCTAAAGCTAACGAAATCTTTGAACTTGAAAACAACCCCGAGCGCCTATTTAGGTTAGTTATGTCCACAAATAACAAAAATATATATGTAAAAACATTGATTTAGAGCCCAAAAACTTGAACGCCACGTCAAAAAAAATGCTTATAACGTGAAGGCAATTTCTTTAAGATTCAATTGCAAGACAGCATTTATAATGCGAGTCATGGTATTGCGCTTAAGATGCGCAAATAGACGTCTATGAAAAATTGATCGAAAAAAAAGATTAATTGAGACAAACAGATTTTTATTTTTTTTTTCACATATTTGTACACATCACATTACAATGCACGACAGAAAGGAAAATCAGTTTTTTTTTCTTTATTACACAAATTTTTAACTTCTTCTTTCAAATCATCATACTTGTTTTTGTTGAGAAAATATTTCCAGTAGATACATTCAAGAAATTCAGTTTTTGTACCGAAGCATCATTATGTACAATTCCATAAAAAAAAACTACAACAGATTACTGAGCTTGAAAATTTCCGCGCAATTCCAAAATATTGTTTTATTATTCCTGTTTTTTTGTTAATACTCATGTCCACATATAGTTGGAACCAGTTTGTTTTTTACTAGTAACAGTAAACAATTTCCCTAAACTTAGCTTAAGAAGTCACTTGATAACACTGAATTAGGCTTTTTGTTAATTACCGGATTAAAGCGGATTGAAATGTTTCAAGGAAGTGAAATTTTCTAGGTGGTTAAATTCTAGTGTGGTAAAAAATCATTGGTATAAAAACGTATGGGGTAAAAATGGGGCAGAAAAACAATTAGGGTTAGAAAGGTAGGTTATCTTTGCTACACAAGCAAAAATCGACATAAAAGAGCAAGTAGCACAAACTAGTCAAACGGCTCTAATCCCAGTAAAGCAAATAAGAGATAAGCAGAAAAAAAATCAAAAACTTTTCCTTTGTTTTGGTCAGAGTGAAACGGACGTTTTTTTTGGTCAGAACGAGTTGAAACGGACGTTTAAAAGCAAAAGAATTATAAAGCAAGCTCATTCTTTTTCATTCATTCATGTAAATTAGTCTGAAAACCGGAAAAAGTCGTCAGAGAAAGTGGCTGATCTTTTAACGCTACGCCCACCGAACTTCTACATAATGAACATATAACCGAACTTCTTGAATAATGAACATATAAATAAAGTAATATATCTTGCAATAGATATCCTACCAATATGTGCCTGTCCGGCGGTGGGCTTCTTGTTTCTTTGTCTCACTGCATCTTTGATTTTCTCAACTTCTGCTTGGTATCTAGAATAAAACGCAAAATGGTGATATGTAAAACGGAACTTGTAGGATTTTTGACATGCCGCATAATAATTAACTTTATTTTTCAAACATAATTTTGATATGAAATGTTCAGAGGGCAGTGGCCTAGGCACAAACTTTTGATGTGGGGAGGGAAGGAAAAATTTTGCCGATCTGTTTAAGGCCAAGAGTTCCAATTTTTTCGCTGCAAACCCTAGAATGGCCATATTTAGCTCTTCTTTTGATCTAAGAACAGTTTTTGAGTTTTTTCAATTTTTTGGACCAATAAAATTTTGTTTTGTGGTCCGTTCTCTTTTTGAGAGTTTATTGCAGTATAGGGCGCCTTTAGAAAAATTTTAGCGTTGATTAGCCATAAAATGCCTGTCTGAAATAGTATCAAATATGATTAATTTAGAAAAAAATTGCCATTCAAGATTGATTAACAGAGGGGGGGGGGGGGGGGGGGGTGGTGGGGGTGGTGGTAGTGTTGGTGGTTTTGCCTTAATAGACTCTTAAGTATTAATATTAATTGAGGTAGACGAAGTTTTTAATTCACACCTTGCTCTCTCTTTGATCGCTCCCTCCTTGGCGTCCCGCAGAGCAGTCTCCAGGTGCTTCACCCTCTCACCCGTGACCTTCAGTCGCCGCTCTAATTTTGGAAGCTCCGTTCGAAGGTCTGCATTGTCTTTCACCAGCTGAAATGAAACGTAATAATTTGAATGTTCCAAGTAATTTTTCAATCGCTGGTTCAGTTTTTCGAACTATAACTCCCAACGTGGTCTTCATAAAATCTTGTAAATCGCATCAGATCTAGGACTTCCTTGTTCAAAAAATTTGGTAACTCTTTTAGGTCGACCAAAATTATTTCCACGAGGTCTCCCACTTAACTACAGACACCCTATGTGTATCGTAAAATAATGGGCAAGGTGGGGCCCTTTGATTGCCTCCACCCCCCAAACCCGCTACTGCATCGCAGAAAAACAGGCCAAATTTCAGGAAAAACACGGGTAAATTACTCAACATTAAATGGACCAATACTGGAATCAGATATAGTGGTTGCAACATCTTTTGTTTGGTGTGTAATAGCAGACATACCTGTCTGTGAACTTTCGTAAGGGTGTCCAAGTTTGTTTCTAGGAAGTTGATTTGCTTCTGTGCCGTCGATCCAATCGGAATTCCATCACTGTCCGTTTGTGCATTGCCATTCGACAACTGAACAAAACGATAAATATAAACAATTTATCACAATCTCATTTACAACACGTAAGATTTCAAATACAATTTCTTGAGGTTAGCCAACAGACAGTTGGAAAAGATTCGATGAACAAATAAATGAACATCAATACTGAATGGATTCGAAAAATTTTGGAATTTCACAGTAAAAACAGATGCCATTTCAGCTCTTTGGATTTCTAGAACAATTTATGATTGGCGCTTTTTTGATAACATGAATACAACTAGAGAAAACTGGATCAATAGGCAAAGTCTTTATTCCGCTGGAAATCTACAAACTAAATTCGAAAATAGATAACGCACGTTTTTTCGCGCCAGTCCCACGTCCGTATTTGGAGAGTGCTATTTACGTCACTTTTAGCAAATGAATTTCAATTGAACTCAAAAAGTGCATATATACTTAAGTGCATTAATAGATGCATCAATATCTATATCTATGAATGCACATCTGTAGTTATTAGAGACTTTTAAGACTTTTCCTGAAGAGGAAAAAACAAAAGAAAATCAGCAAGACATATATATAAGAGTCTGCATTACGTTCATTACTCTTAAGGATATGGTCTTAATCCCCTGTGAATTTAAAGACAAATTTAGGGTTGACATTTTTTCGGTAAAATTAACTCAATTGGAGAATATTGGATTATTGGGTAAAAAATGTATTCCCCTGGAAAATTCCACTTTCTAAACTAGAAGTCGTTCAGGTTTTTTCGCGCCATTTCCAAATTCATCCGTATTCGAAGAGTGCAATTTATCTACTTTTCAGCAGATAAAGTATAACTGAACTCAAGAAGTGCATATATACTTAAGTGCATTTATAAATGCATTAATATGTATGAATGCACATCTGTAGTTTTTAGAACTTTTAAAACTCTTTCCTGAAAAACACAAAAAAACACCAAAAACCTATATAATAGTCTTCACTATGTTCATCGACTCTTAAAGAAGATGGCCTACAGCTTTTTGAATTTCTAGATTAGTTTTTGTTTGACAATTGTTTGATAAAATTAACCCAATTTGAGAAAACTGGATCAATAGGTTATATTTTTGCTGAGTTATCTAATTATTAAACACCGTGTTCAAAATTAGAAGAAATATACCTGTTTCAAGACCTTTACACTTTCACTGTTCGATAGATAAGTTTGTCTTTCTTTTAACAAAAGATATAAAATGAACTTTAAAAAATTAAAAGTCAAATCACGAACAACTATACTTGAGCCTGAACACATTTTAAGACTTTTCCTGCAAAAAAAATGAAAAAAAAAAACATCATCACGACCTTTATAAAGGTCAGAACTACATTCATCCTAAAAATACTAAGCAAAATTTTATCTTTTACCTAAGATAGAAAATTAATTAAGATTTGATGAATGCGAATAAATAGAATATTGTTAACACAAAAAAATTCGAAAAAAAATTATTAATTTTCAAGCCAGCACCTTTTTGAAGCGAGCTTGCAAGTCTTCGATGAACATGCGTCGCAAATTGTGGTAAGTGTGTAACTCCTTTGAAACTGTCTCTTGGAGGGCCAGCAAATCCTCCTGTGCCTGTTCTTTCCTCGAAATTTCCGCTCTGAAATTTTTTTAAAAAAAGATAACTTTAAACTTACGGGCAGTTTCTGGAATCATCTACTCTAGTTCAAGACTTTGCTCAAAAAACCATTTCCAACGATATTTTCTTAGTAGCTTTTACCAGTTTTAATTTGACTAATAAACTAACTGGAGAAGCTGCAGTTTCTGTGACTTTTCCGCTTCCAGTTTCTTCACCTCCTCCAGCTCTTTCGAGGCCGACTGATGGGCCAGAGTGAGGGACTGGAACTCGTGTCTGACCGAATCCAACTCCCGTCCCTTCAGTGCCAGTTCGTCTCTCAGATTGGCCACCTGTGATAATAATGTATATAACATTTTCGGGATAAATATAAAAATTTTGTGTATCAAACCAATCTCTAAACCTAAACTTTGGTATTGGCCACTTTTATACACACCTGACCTCAGGGATTCGACCCCTGCCGACTCAAAGAGTCTCCATTTGGTACTTTTTAAGGAATCCATTTTTGTCTGACCGACCTTAAATATATTCCAAAGGCACTTTTGGCGCCAATATATACTAACTTTGAGGGGGAGGTCGCGCCAAAAAAACGCTGTTTTTCAGTCAAAATTTTCGGCCAAAAACTGCTTTTTACCCGTTTCTTCAAAAATTTGCCAGCGGCACAAAAAAACTTGTCAAAATACAGTCTGCTAGTGTTCTGGGAGCGCTCGGAAGCTCAATTTGGTCGACAAAATTTTTCAAAAAAAAATCCCACCTCGAGACTAGGATTTTCTCGAGGTGGATCCGCCCTTATTTCCAGCATACGTTATTTTACGTTCACCTGATTAAGCAATTATCAACAAAACACAAATCTAAGAAATCTTCTGATGCATTAATTAACACAACATTGGCAAAAATCTAATTCCTCGGTGTATTACCTGCTTGGCGTGATTGTCCCGGTGCGATTCCAGCTCCTGTTCCAAGTTGGACATGGTCTCGTCGGCACTCTTAAGCTTGCCTAGACACAACAACGTTTTTGGTGTTCTGATCGCTGCTTTGCTGTTTGTCAATTTTTATGAAAGGTTAATTTCTTAGAAAGTATAAAAAATGAAGTTTTTGGCAGTATAACTTTTAATTCCAACAATCAGGAACCGATAAAGCTAGATTATCTCTGAAAATGTCCATTCTGTCATTCTGTGCGAAAACAAAAAAAACCACGTTAATCAAAGAATTTCGGCGCCCCTTGTGTAAACGCAAAACAACTTTGTCCATGAGCAGAAGAATTTATGCAAAAATGTATGATAAACGCATATATTCACCTTCCTTCTCTGCAAGAGTCTTCTCGGCCGATGACCTCTCCTGCAGTTCGGCTGCGCGCAAGTGTCGGATTGAGTCATCCTTCTCGTCTATGTCAGCCAACAGCTGTCGCTTCTCCTTCTCCAACTCACTCAGCCCACCCTCCATACTCTGTACACGCGCCTCCAGCTAAATCAGATGAAATAAATGGCATTTCAAGCATTTATTCGGCCAACTTGATGTTACAGTGAAGTAAATAACAGGGGGCTATTCTCATGGTCGAAGGACCTATCGCGCGAAAACTATCAACCAATCAACGAACTTTGAACTGTTCAAAACTGACTGATTTTATCGCTTAATTCCTTCGAATTTATGAATATTTAATTCTGATTAGCTGTCAAAATTTAGCGCATTCGTTCCTCCGCGCATGAGGGTTTCCTTCAGTATATAATGATAAAAAATGTTTTCGAAAACCCTACGTTGCAACCTTCAACTACCGAAACCATTACAGTCTTCAGAAATAACTCAAACGACAAAGATGCAACCCAATTTGCAATAAATAGCAGGCAGGGGACACGACATAGAGTCTTAAACCGATTGCAACAGTTTGATGAAAACTTGCCTGTTGTATTTGCAGTCTGGTCTTGCCTAGCTCGGAATCAGCTTCAGTTAATTTGTCTCTGGCCTCGTTCCTCGCCTGGTCCAAAGAACTGTTCTGACTGGTGAGGTTTTTGATCTCACTCTTCAGCTTGTTCACACAGATCCTCGCAACTGTGAAGTCCTCTTCCATCTTGCCCGCCGAATTCGATCCCAATTGGTGCTGAACATTAACGTTCAGCCATTAGTGATAAATAACTTTGAAATTATTTGAGACAATTGATCCCTGAGGGCAAAGAACAGAAATTTATTTGTTCATTTTTGACGTTATATATTGCAAATATCTTCCGATGAATTTGCAATATATATCAGCGGAAGATAATTTCCCCCATTTTTAAAACTGTGCAGACCAATTTTTGTTATTGAAGACAACCCTTCAGCGTTTTTTTAGAAAATCACAGCAGACGTGTAAATTAAATGAGCGCCAGGTCAACAATCTCTGCTTTACAATTTTAGTGCAGAACAAACCTTCATTTTGTCCAGAGCTTTATCCTAGCAATGCATCAGTTCAGTACCATTAAGCGTGACATTTAACTTTCTCGCGGTTGAAATGCTTTGTTTTAAACAGCACTTTCTGGGTAACAGCACAAATCACTCTAACCAGTTATGAACATTACGGCTGGCCAAACAACAGTTTCGGCATAGCTGTATACTGATCCGTGCATTTAATTCAAAATTATCTGGTATGTTTCGTTTCAATCGTAATGTTCAACAACCCTGTGATTCCAGCATACCTGGAAGTCGACGCTGGATCCCCCAATAATCTGACAGGAGACGTGGAGGTCCTTCACTAGCGCAGTTATCATTTCCTCCACTCTGGCTTTGGTCGAGGCCAGTTCGTCTCGGAGGGCACTGATCTCTTGTTCAAATCGCTTCACTTGTTTCTGAAACATCATAGAACGAAAAAATACATCGAGGGTCAACACACAAAATGGCGCATTTGTTTATATAAAACTCGAGCTAACTAATTTCTATTTCACTAATTATATTTGAACAATCCTCAAATTAGTAGCACAAGATTGCAAAGTATTGCTAATTGATATTTATCATGTGTTTGCCATGGTCTTAAATTTTAACTTTTAAGTTCTCCGTAACAAAACCTACTAACTTCCATTTAATAGTTCTGACGGTTACCCTGGAACGATATGCATACCTGTTTGTCCCTGTTGAGTGCCGCTTCTCTCTCGAACTCAGTCTGTTTGTCCTCCAGCTCCTTGTTCTTCTGCTCTATACTGCCTGCCACCTCCTCCAGGGCACTCAGCACACCTCGCACCTCCTCCTTCGTGTCACTTAGTTCACGCTGCAGACGCGAGATCTGAAACACAGCAAAAAATAAAATCTTCGTCCATTCATGAGCGTATCAGATGACTGACAGCACTTTCAAATTGTTAGGAACATGCGCTCTCATAGCTCCGGAAAAAAATGTTACGCAACCAGATAATAAACTAACTGTCGAACAGAAAAAACTTGGATTTCAGTCCAATTCTTAATATCTGATACAAATACCTTCAAAATTGTCTTTTTTCTCTAACTGGTCAGAGCATCTACACAAGATCTCTAGGAACTAGGAATCCGCTCGATGTGTTCTACTCGCCTCAGATTGTAGTTTCTCATTTTCGCCTCTTGCTGAGGAAAGTGCCCGTTCTTGGTCTTGCATCTGATCCTTGACTTTTTCTAACAGCTGTGACTGAGTCGCTATCTCTTCGTCCTGAAATGAGACAGCTGCAAAGTGTGGCCAAAAAGGGGAAAGAAACGAAACACATTATTTTGACTTTTTTTCTATTTCTTATTTTTTCAACATGGACAAAATCAACTAACAATTTTGAATGAAAATGTTCCAATATAAATAACTTATTCGTATTGGAACATTTGTATAAAACAAAATATGTTCTCTTTTTTGAAGCATAGTAACCTTTTCGTCCATCTGAGCGTACAGCTTCGAGAGCTCTTCATCATTTGCTCCTCCGCTGCCAGCTGCTCTCTGATTACTCGAATCACCCGCTGCAGAAGCACCCCCGGAGCCAGCCGCAAGATTCAATGCACTTCCCGAAAACATACTCATCAGTGACTGACTCGGCGACACTCCAGGAGCCAGAGGCGCCGGCTGTTCTCCGGCTGTCAGATTAGCAATCACTGAAAGATCAGCCAGTGGTTGTTGTTGTTCGTCCGGCGAAACTTTTTCGCCCTGTCTCCACTTCATCAGTTCGGCGGCCATTGATGCCAATGATTGCTTCAGTCGGAAGTTCTTGTCTCTTTCCTTCTCGTAGCGACGCTTCCATTCTTCCGCTGTCAACTCCTCGTTCACTGTTACGACGTTCTTGATCGTTTTAGTTCTGTCAATATAGGCTTTCGATTGAAACATTTGGTCTCACATACCCTTTCATGCAAATCGAATACTTTTTTTTTTGAAAAAAGTCATTTTTTGAAATGATACGAGCGACCAGAAAAACACTGACAATCAAATTCTGTTAGTTAGAAAGGCGTGTTTGTTTTGCTCCTATGGTAGCATAAAATCTGCAGCAAAGCTTATATCAAATCACAAGCAAGTAGTCACACAAGATAGAACAAGTCACTGACGCTAAAATTCGGGATTTTGGGCAATCAGACTATAAAAAAGAAGAATTGATTCTAACCTCTGACCAAATAGGAGTGTGGACCTGGTTTCACTCTCGTTGAAACTGGCAGGAGACACACAGATGACCATAGTCGTCCTCGAGTTGCCTCCAAGCGACTCCTGTAGAATCCTTGTCAGCTTCGAGTCTCTGTAAGGGATGTGAGATTTATTTGACTCTGTTAAAGATGCAATCACATTTCCGAGACAGGAGAGCGATTTGTTGATGTTCTTTGCTTCGTCCAGAGTTTCACCCACTGCTCCTGTTTTACTGACCTGAAAAACACATCAACCAATCATCAATCTGCTCCTGTTTTACTGACCTGAAAAACACATCAACCAATCATCAATCTGAGCAAAATTTGACATCAACCAATCATCAATCGATAAAAAATGAACAGAGAAAACGTCGCTGTCATCCGTTACTCGTATCTGGTTATCTTAAACCACAAAAAAGTAATATAAAATCATCATTATCATCAATTTTTAGAATGTTTCTTTTTCCACCAAGAGAATTGAAAATGTTCCTAACCATTTCCAATTTAATTGTTTGAAAAATAGCTATAAAAAGTACCTTTTCGGATCCCGCTAAATCTACCAGGTACAGCTTTCCGCTCAGTTTCTTCTGAGTGACTTCGTTCTCCTGTTTCACGTGGATCTGGAAGATGGAGTGGCTGCGCGAACTGTGCTCATTCATATCTGAGCAAAAAATCATTAATATTATTTTATCTGTTTCAAGTCAACCGATACTTATTTATTTTAGGCCTTACTTGATTTTCAAAACAGAAAATAGCCAACAGACAGTTCAAAAAGAATCAATGAACGCAAGGAAACAGAAAAGGAAAACTTTACATTATCAAAGTAAAAAAAAATTTGCCTTTATATTCTTTGAATATCAAGAACAATTTATGATTGACAGTTTTTTGATAAATTTAACTCAGTTTGAAAAAACTGGTCAATAGGTAAAGTTTTTTCCGCAGAGATATCTGAAAAATAAATTCCACAATAGAAACTAGAAATAGAAACGATGACTCTATATAGAATCGATGACGTTTTTCGATCACGTCATCGATGACTCTGAAAATAGAATCGATGACGTTTTTCGATCAGACTACAAGTTGCCTAGCTTTTAGAATCTGTATGAATGTGGTGCTATAAAATTTTAAGATTTTCCCCAAAAAAAAATTCATCGCGACCTAAACTAAAGTCTATATACGTCCATTGACTGTTAAAAACGTTTTCAAAAGATTACGCTTACACCCCTCCCTGATGATAGAAATTCCTTCCAGTTTTATTAAAGAGATGCTCAAGACTTGCTATTCTCCTGAAATGAATCAAGGTCCTTGCGTTCAGGATCTGCCGATAGTTCTGAAACTGACAAGCTAAATGGCACGGGAAAGCTTCACTCACTTGTTACAGCCACTTGTCGATTGTTTTTTCCCTCAGCAATCACATCCATTACTTCGTCTGGACAGGCCACGAATCTCTCTGTTATTCCCTAGAATAAGGTCAAAAATTTGTACTACATAAGATCCTCATAAGGATTCCAAAAACCAGTGAGCAACCATGATTCACAGGAATACCCCAGGGTCACTTCTTTGGCGCCTTCAACCATGTCACAATTCTAACTTGTATTTTCTAATATGTTTTTTTTAAATCTAATTATAAATTCGAGTTTGTTATTACCTTAACGTATGGCACTTTGTTCTTATCTTCGTGTATGGGTAGATTGTTCTTCGAGGGATCCAGCAAGTCTCTAATCTTCTCCATGTATATCTCATAGTAGCACACTTTAATATGGAACTCCAGGTTCTCGTCCATGTTGTAAATATGGGAGAAAATATCGCCCACAATTCGGGGGATGATTCCCTGCAAGTCATTGTCTCCCAACACCCCTTCCATTGTATGTGTTTTTCCAGACGAGGTTTGACCATAGGCAAAGATGGTTCCATTGAACCCACTGAGCACATCTAAGAAAATTTCACATGATGAATGTCGTTTAAAAAAAGCTAGTTATAAGCATATAATGGAGCACATTCAAATCGACCAGATGCATTTACTTAGCCGATAATTTTTTAGGGCTATTTTGTTTACCTGAAACAATAGGTTGAGCTGCCTTTTCGTAGACTGACCTCTGATCGATACTTGATCTAAAGACTCTGTCAAAAGTGAATGTCTTGGAACCACCCTGTTGGCCCTGTAAAACACAATTTAGTCGGCAAAAAACGTCTGAAATAAACAGCTCAAATAAAATAGTTTATGCAAACAAAAGATTTTAAAAAAATCACTACTTAATCGCCGGGACCCCTGTCCACCTCCCCGCAACATAAATCCACTTCTTCATTGACCCCACCAAATATTTCTCAGAATTGATCCAAAGTTGCGAAATCAACTAATAATTTAGCACTCTCCCCCACAGTGAAAAAATTTGGGAATTAAGTACTGCATTTACCCTTGGGATTTAAGTACTGCAGAGTAGTAAGCAAGAGACAAAATAACGCTTTTTATTACGATAGCATTAAACGAAAATACTTTTCAAGCTACAGGCAAAACTGTTAACTAGCCCCTTTCTCTCTGACTCAGTCTTGCACTTTTGAATTAAATGTAAGAATCGTAAGGTCTATTTGTTTTTTAAAACTGACCGATACGGATATCTGTTCGTCGGAGGGCACACTGATTACACACGAGTCTCCTCTTTCTTTTTCCGAGTTGTTGAGAGGCCTCACTCGACATACAACCTTAATGGAGCACTCACTCGGATCAGGTTCTGCCATCTCTGTAACTTCTCAATTGCACAAACAAAATTATCTAAAAATATTCCCAACTCTCTGAAAATGTTCAGATAAAAAAAATGAAGAAAACAAGTAAGAAGTAATTTGCATGGTAGTACAAAAATTCAATAATTTATTATTCAACACAGAGACACGAGCGCCACTTGAGATACAACACAAAAAGCATGGCAAATAAGCTGTAAAAATTGAGATAGAAGCTAATAAGTCACGAAGCAATTTTGAAAAAAATTTCAAAAGCCATTTTTAAAATGTCAAAAATCACTAAATCTCAAAGTACTCAGGCAATTAAATCTACTTTTAAGTTTCTATGGTTAGGGCGCAGAACAGAAATATCGTAGATTTCCGTGTTGTTACAGAAACACTTATACATGGTAAAAAACTGGTTGTAAACTTTTCCAAGAGTTCAAGAAATCCTGGCAATTAAATCAAAAATTTGACTGCTATGGAAGCAGAACTAAATGTTTACAACGTTGTAACAGATACCAATCAAACTTGTTGGAAATCAAGCTGCCCAAACTTCGACCAGTAAATTAAGGCCCATGCTTTTCTGACGACGGTCTGCGAGATAACAATCTTGAAAAAAAACTACTGAGTATGGAGTACCTCACTATCCGGATACGGCATCTTACCATATATGAGACGCTAAATAGTCGCATCAGGTGGATGCCTGCGGGGTGGGTATTCACAAGTACCAAAATGATAAATCAGTCCCATTTGTACCAAAATAAAAAATCAATCGCGTTAGTACCAAAAATATTCAATTGGCCACCAATGACTACTAAGCCGACTATTTTAAGCTCTTGGTTTAAGGTCGCCGGTGGGCGCGCTACGCGCGCGTCGCCGCTTTGCGGCGATAACCGGCTCTAATTTTCGTATAGAGTCCTACCCTCTGTTGGCAAGCTCGCAACACGTTGGCGCGACTGCGGCGGTCACTATTCTGCTGTTTAGTTTTCTTCTGTTTGAACAGTAGAAAATTAATATAATAATTCGTTGGCTCAGAATTCGACCAATCAGAAATCGAGTTGAATAATTTTGGTACAAATGGGACCGATTTTTCATTTTGGTACAAATGACCGTTGGTACAAATGGGACGTCACCGCCTGCGGCACTTCCTAAAACGCACTAAATCGTTTTCTGTAATCTCGATAAATTCAATCTAAGTGTCAGCACCAAACTTACAGGTCGCACTCCAAGCGAACTCAATTCAAAAACGGTCGTTTCCTTAGATCAACATTAAGTCAATTAAAAAGTTCGCACGATTAAATCCATCTTTTGGAAAGATTTCAATTTCAATTACTCTCTTTCGATCTTGTCCGACTAGCGAGAAACTATCAGCGAAAGGAACCGCTTCCTACTCAGTTCCGGTATTTCGGATACGCTTCTTAAACCCCTCACCACATGGTGCAGCCAGCAATGGTGAAAACACCATTAGGAAGTTTTGCGTTCTGGTAACAGCCAACACAAAACCCAGCTGTAAACTGAGAAAGGGAAACAGCATGTCGCACCAGCCATCATCAGCAAAAATCGGTATCGACCTGGACAACTTATTATAAGAGAAACAGAAACAGAACTCACACTACCAGAGCAGCCAATAGAAGAACAGGAACATGCCTTTGATATACAGTGCTGATTTAAATTAACCGGACAAAACGCGTTAAACTTGAAATTTAAAACGCCTTTTTCTCAAATTGGGTTGAGTTTAGGTGAAAACTTATGAAGACAAAACTTGCTTAGAATTTTAGCAGAATTAATATGGTGTAATTTGTTTTGCGAAATTCGGGCCCAAAATTTTACCCCAAAAATGGGTCATTTTGGCTTTTCCTAGTTAATAGAAAATTACGCCAAAAGTACCCAGTCAATCACAGACATAATTTAAAAGCCACGAGATTTAAACGTTTGCGAACAAATGTACTCGGTTACCGAGCTGAAATTTTTAACGAGTCTGATCAATGGATCTTTTTAGGTACCTAAACGAAAAAATGCGGATCATAAGGCGCTACTTGAAATACTTAAATCTTATCGGTCAAATCAAAAGTGCCAAACAATATTAACGAGATGGAACGACAGATTACCTCCATTAGATTTTAAACTCGAACATAATGGCGCCACAAAAAGTATTTGAAGATTATCTATCAGAAAATCCGCTACAAAATCCCGTAAACTATCACAAATTGATGAAGAATTCTCAGTACAGCAAATTGAATTAACCACAAACATTATACGCAAAATTCTAGGCAAACATTCACAATCTGACATTCTGGAACAGTCTTATTCAAGAGTTTTCCAGAAAATTCACGTGATTGACCAGCCGAATCCAAATTTATTAGCAGCGTACGAACCTTAAACATCCTTTGCGAGCAAATCTGAATCGGAAATTAAAATGAATCAAGCGAGCGAATACGCTAACTGCATCATATTTCCATCAGCGAAAAGGCGAATAATCCAGATAGTGAAACAAGAGTCTTCGCACAAAAGGCGCGTAATAAATTACGATCCCTAAACAGACGTGACAGAAGCACCATACGACAAAAACAGGCAATTAAGGATAGCGACAGATAAACAGGCAATTAAGTCCGGCAGTAAATTTAATAGAAAAACACGAAAAGGACGAGAAAAAGGATGCTTGAAACAGTTCCAATCAATACTGGGAGGTACTTGTAACACCTTCAGATGAAGAATTGGATATACTGGACCAAATATTACAGCCCCTCATGCGCTCAAAATGTCGAATTTTTAGCCGAAAAATAATTGCCGCTTTGTCAAATCGGAAACAAGCTCTAGAAGAACTACGAGTCTGTATTTTGGCCGAGGAAAGGTGCAAAAAGATGGAAAAGAACTACAGGGTCTTTCAGATAGAATGGTTTTTTTGAAACGTCTATAACTTTTAAACGGAACATTGGATTTAACTGATTCTTTTTACATTTATTATATAACAGATTAAGATTTTTGAACACGTACATAAGAGTTCTAATAACTGCTGGAAATCTCCGCCATTTTCTTGAATACAAAGATGTAACCGCTTCTTAAAATTTGTTGCTGCTTTCACTCCCTGCGCCGGAGTTATTGTCCCACAAGCGTTCTCCACAGTTTGCATAAGATTTGGGACTGTCTGGGGGTTGGCATCAAATATCATTTTACCCAAATGACCCCATAGCCAAAAATCCAATGGATTCAAGTTCGGGCTTTGGTGTTCTGTTCTGTTCTGTTTCCCATTTACGCCCCTCGGGGGGCCTTGGGTGGTTCTTTCTGGCACTTCCTCTCATGTCTGGCTAGGTTATTAGCAGTGATCCAGGCTCCGCAGGATCCACACTCTTTCCTCCCCCTGGTCCCCGTGTACCTGTTACCTCCCGTCTCCCTTGCCGCCGTGTTCCCTACCGTTCCACTCCCTCCTCCGCAACTCCTCCTATGACTCGCCATATTACCCCTTGTTACCGTCACCGCGCGGTCCCCACACCTACCCATCTGGTCCCCCTTACAGCTCTTTCTGTGGTTTGTTAAGTTGTGCTTCTCCGCGAAAGTTCTGTTGCATCTGTCGCATTTAAACACCCTCTCCCGTATCCTGTGAACTCGTCGTTCATGCTGCACTAGACCTCCTTTTGTTTTACAAATTCGTCCGCATCCCTCCCACCTGCATGTTAAGTTTTCTCCCTGATACCTCGCCTGGCTCCTTCTAGGTTTCTCCCCTCCCCTGTATCTGCACATTTCACTCTCCCATTTCTCTAGCGCTTCTTTTCTCCTTTTCACTGTCGCCTTCCATTTTTTCCGGTCCTGTGTTAAATTTTCTATATTCGTCCAGTCCTCTCCCGCTTCCCTTATGAGTCGCCTCCAGTAATTAACCACGCCTCCATTTAACCTACCCTGTTGTGTTCTCTCGTTTGTCCAGTGCCCTAGTATAACTTTTTTAGTTGTCCTGTTGTTGCTCATCCGAAGGACGTGGCCCATCCTTTCCAACGCCCGCGTCTCTATTTTTGTTCTGATAGATGTTATCCCCAGAACCCTGCGTATCTCGAAACTATTGCAAGGCAAGAAATTGGTGGCACCTTGCACCTATTGGTGGCCAAGGAATCGCACTCCTCCTGCTTATAATCCTCGCGCCAAATTTTGAGTGGAGCCATGTGAGTACTCTCTCTGTGCAGTGGCACGTTGCACCATCCTGCATAAACCACAGGTGCCGAAGATCGCGGCGTGTCAGAAGAATTGGCCAGAGTTTAGACTGCAACAAGTCAAGATACGTCTGCTGGTTCAAAGTGACCGGATTGTCTCTTGCATCAACGAACTAGAATGGGCCCAATAAAGTACCTTTAAGCACCCCCACCCAGCACATAGCCTTTTTCTTGCCTTGATATTTGGTTATTTGCTTAAAGGTACCTTATTGGGCCCATTCTGGTTCGTTGATGCAAGAGACAATCCTGTCACTTTGAACCTGCAGACGTATCTTGACAAGTTGCAGTCTAAACTCTGGCCAATTCTTCTGACATGCCGCGATCTTCGGCACCTGTGGTTTATGCAGGATGGTGCAACGTGCCACTGCACAGAGAGAGTCCTCACATGGCTCCACTCAAAATTTGGCGCGAGGATTATAAGCAGGAGGAGTGCGATTCCTTGGCCACCCCAAAGCCCGAACTTGAATCCATTGGATTTTTGGCTATGGGGTCATTTGCGTAAAATGATATTTGTTGCCAACCCCCAGACAATCCCAAATCTTATGTAAACTGTGGAGAACGCTTGTGGAACAATAACTCCGGCGCAGGGAGTGAAAGCAGCAACAAATTTTGAGAAGCGGTTACATCTTTGTATTCAAGAAAATGGCGGACATTTCCAGCAGTTATTAGAACTCTTATGTACGTGTTCAAAAATCTTAATCCGTTATATAATAAATGTAAAAAGAATCAGTTAAATCCAGTGTTCCATTTAAAAGTTATAGACGTTTCAAAAAAACCATTCTAACTGAAAGACCCTGTACGACCAGCACTGGCTTATCATGTGAAGAGAGGCATAGTGTGCGCTGACGAACGTGGCAAAAGTCTCGGTGCTCCTAGACAGATGCGCCGGCGTAGTCCACGCAACACATCCGGGACAGCTCGAGATTACACAGCATCGGAGAAAAAATGGTGGTAACAAGAACATCGAAACACCATACACAAGGCTGAGGAGTGCAAACTCTGTTCCACAGTCGGTAAAAACTTAAATGTTAACCGCTCTTTCGGATTCGAACTAAGTAAAAAGTTAAGCGAATCAATGTTGGAAGGTAAACTGCAATTCGCCGCATCGATAAACAATGAAAAAGCAAAAAAGGCATACATCCGATCAGAAATCGACCGATTCACGAAATGCCTTTCAAAAAAATTACAACATGCCAACGCATAAAAAACGTCAAAAATTATCGCGACAATATCTCAAATTACTCGAAGCACAGCGTGCGATCAGGGTCGATCAAACTTCATTCTTAGCAGAAAAAAATTTCAGAAAACTACAATAACATCAATGAAGAAATACTAGCGCCAGCGAACGTTCAGCTGGAACGACTCATTAAAACCGTTCAGTCAGTGTTCGTTAGGAAGAACCTTAACAACTCTTCAAACTAGAACAAGCAATAAACAAACTGATAACGGCGTTACAAACATCATACCAGTCAGCGATTAGTTAACACCGTTCAAAGCGAACGGTGTAGAAGGCCGAATACACCCTGTCAGACATAAGTAGAAAACCGACCAGACTAAATTTAAATTGGAATATTATTATCAAATCCTATTTAGTCAAGTCGAACCAGCAGAGAAAGGACACCGATACCAATTGTGAAATCGGAATCAAAGAGAAGCAGAAATGACAGAATGCTCAAGCCAGAAAAGGAATGGATAAACTCTCATTCGTCATCATTACTAGGGATATCGGCAAACCCATCGATAAGGCCACAAGACATGATACAGCCCTCCCATTGAAACGTAACCCCAAAAACAGTCAGAGGAGGAAGGAAGAAGGAACTGGAGGACGGAAGGAGTCAAGTTCCGGAGGGAACAATCATGGAGAAAGATAACAGTTCGACAAAAACGGTGAAAAGTCCAGGAAAAGAGACGGTTTTAGTCCGAAACTCCGAATTAACCCAAACGATGGAACGATTTCCGTTATGGAAATTAGCTGCTAGGAAAGGTGCTCCCAGAACAGCCAGGCCCAGTCCATGACAAGGGTAAGCCCGGCTACACGATACAAGTCTCGCTTTATTACGAAACTTCACCACAAATATCTACTGGGAAATATAACGGGTTCTACAAAGGTCTGCCATCGAAAAAATAAGGACGCAAACAGAGCTGCCAAGCGGGAAAAAAGTTCTGAAACAAGCTAGTAAAAAAACCAACGGCTGACAAGGACCATGAACCTGGGCAGACATCCAAAAGGTTCTCTATCGCGAGAACAACCAGCTCTCAAATTGTTCTGGATAAATCAACCGGATCCAATTCAACAACAGCGTTACAAGAAGACTCAATTTTCGCCTAGAACCGCGTTGACTCTTTCGACACAGACAGCGCACCGGACCTCACAAACTACAAAGACACCCGATCAATTAATTGCAGCAATATGAAGAAGAACGATGCAGAAAAGGATGCGGTTAATCTGGTCGATCTAGGACTGAAGACGAGATTCCTGCAGCCTCGACGATGGAAGACAAAGCTAAAACGAGCATCGAAGACTCTCTAAGGGGGGAACGATTAATGGAAGCTAGGTCAGCATCCTACTATAATACGGCACAAAAGAGCAAAGACAGTACCGACACCGACTATTCCAGCAGCGAAGAAATTACGCAGCAAAAGTGGACAGACGGCCTACAGGATAGCAATTTCAGAAACCTCAATAAAGAAAAGAGAAAAAGTGTAAAAAATAGAATTATGAATGGGTCTGGAGTACCTCGCTTAACTTTAAGCTTAGCAGCTTATGTAGGGGAGCTTCCCACAACCCTTCCTTTCGATTGATACCAAAATCTCAGATTTGGTAGGGTAAAATTTGAGAAAACAAAAAATCCAAAAAACGTGTGTCAAACATTCCCACATAGAGTTTTATGAAGGCTGCAGAAAGAGAGCTAAAGTAAAACGAGACTAATTTTGCAGACATATAGGGGAGAGGGCGGCCTTTCTATTTATAGTTTTCTAAAAATCAGTAGAATAATTTTTGAGAAAAACTAAATTATTTAGAAAAGTGAAAAAATTTTCCAAAGCGTCTCAAAAAACCCGATCCCATACGTTTTCATAATACCTATTTTTTCAAACAAGAGTTTACCATTTCTAATGTTCGACATTCTAATGGCAAAACGTTCACGAGAAAAAGTCTGTTACTCGATCACGTGTCTATGCTTCAGTGACGCCTGCTTACGCTGATTAATCAAAAATGATTGCCAAAAAGAGTGTGATGTCCCATGTTGCGTCCGCTTTCCTGGACGATCGAAATCAAAAGAGGCTGTATGTTCCTCTCTTGATACTATTTACGAAAACCTTTTGTTTAACAATTCCGGAAATGTTTCTGAGGCACCGTGTTGCCAATACACTCTTACTTATTACACTTCTTACGGGGAAGCGTGCTAAGAAACGCAATTAATTGACCAACAACTTTCAAAAACTGCCCACAGCCTGTATAAGGTTTATTTCATTGATTTAAAAAACTATCCGTCTTTCTAAAGAAATTTTTAGATCCACACCTGATCGAAACATACCTTTTCGAGTGATAAAACGTGTTTGAAGATAATATATTTCTGATACTCAGTACTGTAAAAGCGGATACTGAACTATAAAATTAAAAGAATACCCTATAAGTGTTCTAACAAATGATATATAAAGAAAGCACAGAAATAGTGAAAAACAGACTCGAGCCAAAAAGGACTCTCTAACCACCAAGGTGCAAAATAGAATTATTAAAAGCGACGCAAACATTCGCAACTAAGAGAAGAGTTCCAAAGGATAGCACGACCACTTTGATGCTCTCCTTATCGGAAGGGTCTATTTTGAAAACAATTGCAATAAATTCCATCATAGCTGAGAATATCCACTGGCCGTCAAGAGTGTAACATGGAACAGCGTTTAGAAGCGCCAGTGCAGCTGAAAAAAATGCAAATGTTAATAGACTGTATCTGAAATGATTGCCCAACGACTTCCTTTCATGCATTACTAGTTATAATTTTTTAAAGGGTTTGTGGATGCAATTTGATTATGTTTCTTGTGCCAAAGTGCATGATGCATAGACGAACAAAAAACAGTTAACCTTCAAAAATATGACAGATTTAGAAGTTGCTGTGAAAGAAAATAAACAATCCTGCATTTCATTTCAAAGCCATCTTCTAAGACTTTTGCTTCGGCAATAACGCCGAAGCACCCTGTGTGATGAAATGTTATAATTTAAGCATTACCAATGGAAGATTGGAAAAGAGTAATGAACGCAAGTAAACGTAGAAAAACACTGACTTTGTTGAAAAAATCTCAACTTTCGAATTTCATAGAAAAAATAGATGCCATTTCAGCTCTTTGAATTTCTAGAACAATTTAAGATTGGCGCTTTTTTGATAACATGAACCCGACTAGAGAAAACTGGATCAATATGCAATGTCTTTATTCCGCTGGAAATCTAAAAACTAAATTCCAGTTTCGACACTAGAAAACGTTCTCGTTTTTTCGCACCAATCCCACGTCCGTATTTGGAGAGTGCTATTTACGTCACTTTCAGCCAATGAATTTCAATTGAACTCAAAAAATGAATATAAACTTGAATGCATTCATAAATGCATCAATATGTATGAATGCACATCTGTAGTTATTAGAGACTTTTAAAACTTTTCCTGAAAAAAATCAGCAAGATCTATAAAAGAATCTTCACTACGTTCATTACTCTGAATAAACCAACTACTCAAAAGCCTAACATCCATAAACTTGAAATATCTCACTAATGTTACAAATCGACAACACTTATGCACCGAAACACTAATGCGCAGAAGATCCTCTGAACCTGTTTTTCCGATTAAACTCTTAACATCAGATTTGGGAGGGTAGTACTAAAATAGTACTAACTTTTTTAAAAAGCTTCAGAAAAACGGTGAAATTATCAAAACATGGCCTTTTCGTAAGGCAATAACTATGAGTCATTTCAAAAATCAGACGTAGCCGCTAATGCAGAGAAGATTCCTACAAAATTTTCTTTTCATTGAGCTCGTAATCTTAAATGTGGCACAGAAATTTCCAAAAAACGGTCAAAGTTTGAACCTGTTAATGTCAGAATTTTTTTTGCTACAAAAATTGAGGCGTAGCCCCTTATGCACTGAAAGTGCCAGCGACCAGTTTATTTCAACAGTTTAATTGTCCAAAATTGCCTTTTTTGAGGTTCTACAAAAATAGAGCGTATCAGCTTACGCAGAATAGACTACTGAAGTATGTTTTTTCGATTGAACTTTTTATCTCAGATCTGACAGGTGGTTTTTGAAACATCAAAAAAATCCAAAAAAGGGCGTTAAAAATCACCCCACTGATAGTTTGGAAATACCTAAGCTGCATCGCAGTATTAATGGTCGCTTCTTTTGTGTAATACTTCTGGGAAGAGATGAAGCGCATCAAAAGAAAAATATCAAAGCCAACTGAGAGTTGGATAAGAGTCAATGACGTAAGGAAACAAAAACACTGACTTGATTTTTTAAAAAAACTTCAAATTTCGATTTTCAAGGAAAAATAACTACGGTCGTAAAGCTCTTTGAATTACTTAAACATTTTATGATTGACACTTTTAAATAAAATTAGCCCAATCTGAGTAAACTGGATCAAAAGTAAATTTTAGATTTCGCTTGGGAAATTTGAGAAAAAAATCCACTTTCGAAACTAGAAGTCGGTCCTGTTTTACATGATCTTTACACTTTTGCTGTTCGATACTCGAGTTTGCTTTTCTTTTAACAACGGAAATTAAAAGACTATTGTAAAAACACCATCAAGGGCTCAATATTCAATCACAGTAGCGATTTGCGCTTCGCATATTGAAAAAATAATAATGACTCATAACAACTTTCACTGCTGATTTTAAATTTACTTTGCTGATGCTGTTCGGAAATCCCATTCAGTGAAATGAAATGGGCTAATTTTTTGAAAAAAAAATTCCTATTAGATCACAAACTCAATTTCAGATGCACTTTTCCAAGGATAGCACTTTCATACACAAATCAAACCTGCGAAAAATGAATACAAGCAAAAAAAATGCAAAAAAAATACATATCAATCCCTTCTTGAAATTTTTGGATGATTTTTCAATTGGTAACAAAATTCCCGCTCAAATTCAGTGTCACTTTTTACAACCCCAAGCTTTATACAAAAATAATCTTATGTTAAATATCTTTGTACATTTGAGCTCAGGGCGTCAATAACTACCAAAAAATTGATATATCACACAAAAAAGATATTTCGACACAGGAAGGGAGAGTCGCGCCAGTTGCCATTCATCATATATATCTTGCAATAAATATATGAAATAAAACAAAAAATAAAATAAAAAAATGAAAAACTTGAAATCATCGAAAAAAAAACCTAGTTAATCTAAAGTCTTAACTGATGTGTTCGCTTTAGTTCAAAAAGTTTGGCCTATAAAGTTTTGAGTTTTTTACTCCCTTTTTGCAACACATTATACGAGAACAAAAATGCTAAAATAAATCAAAAACATTTTAATTATAGTAAAAAAAACTCAGAGGCGAATCATAGTCATAAAAAAACTATGACTATGATTGAAATCAAATGAAAACACGAATCAAAATTGGAATAACTTCAAAATCGTTCTTGTTAATTTTTTTAAAATTCCAAAAAAGCCCAAAAGATCCGGAATAAAACTACCCGCATCAGTAGAAACTTTATGAGATTTTGGAATGTATGAAAAAAGCAAAACAATCATAAAGTCCTTTTTGCGGAAACTAGGCCGACAAAACAGCAAAAAACAGGACCCGACTGCATTCGAGCTGCCGGAATTTTGTCGTCTCAAAAATGGGTGTCACAGCAACCAGGCTACGAGAAGTAAGCGGACAAAAATAAAAAAAACGGCCGGATTTGAAAAAAGCCTCTGCTCTGCCGTCTCAAGCAGGTAGGTTACCTCTACGTCAAATGGTTTACTGAATTTATAAAAACACCTTCGCAGAAAAAACAGTCAAGTCAACACTTAACAGAAATTAACTTTTTTTAAAATTAAGACAAGAACAATACGCTGGTCCAACACCTTGAGCGAATGTAAAACGAAATCGCTCATAGAATTCATGACGCTAAGTTGCTATAAGCTTACTTACTGCACACACTCTCAGGGCAAAAAAAATCGAACACCACGCATTCAAAAAAATATTGAAACATTAAAAAAAACACTCCAAAAGTTTAAACTTTCATTTTGAAAATTTCAGAGTGTACACAAACAAAAAACCAAGATGTATAGTTTCGTACTTCAAATTGAATTGAATAAAACAATTCAATAAAATGTTACTAAAAAAGCAACCTGCAAATAAGCTGACAAATATTGGGACCAAATCAATTAAGATTACAAAAAATCAATTAATCTTACAAATTTTGATCTGAGTTTTTTCAGCTGCAGAATCAGTAACTCCTTAACTTAAATATATTAACTCTAGACCAAGAACTAGAGCAGCTAAAAAGGCAACTTGAATAAAACTGGAGATCTTCTACGCGTCTAATTTAGTACAAGAAATTTAGTATACGACTGGAATCCGGTCGGTCATCTAATTCCCAGAAAAAAGGCAAAAATAAAACATAGCCAACAGACAGTTGGAAAAGAGTCAATGAACGCAAGCAAACAGAAAAAATAATGACTTAATTAAAAAAAAATCTCCACTTTCGAACTTTAAAGAAAAATACATTCCCTTCAAGCTCTTTAAATTCTATGATTGACTTTTTTCGATGAAACTAACCCAATTTCATAAAACTGGATCAATAGGTAAATTTTTAATTCCAATGGAAAATCTGAAAAATAAATTCCACTTTCGAAACCAGAAGTCGATCACAGTTTTCGAGACCTTAACTCTTTTGCTGTTCAATAGTGGAGTTTGCCTTCCTTTCAACAAAGGAAATGAACTGAACTTAACAAGAAATCAATGTCAAACCGCGAAAAAGTACACTTGAGCCTGAACCAATTTTAGGATTTTCCAGACAAAAAAAAAGAGACAAAAATCATCATTTCCGATATAAGAGTCTGAACTCCGTCGACCCTTAACCATGCAAATCTGCATTGAAAAGATGCAAACTATGTTTGAGGTTTGAAAAAGACATGCACATTTGACGACTTATGACTCCCTAACTCATCAAAACTCTTGAAGAAAGCAAAATATTGATTCTTGAGAAACAACGACAACGAGCCTATCAGAAGCAAAAAAAAACTAAAATGCAGAATGAATCGGAATTAGAAGTTCATATAACAATTTAAGCAATTTTTTATCGACTCCTTTGCTTTGAATTGAATTGCTAAAATTGAGAAATAACCTGCTCTTTTTTCATACTAAAATCGACGCCGATCGTTTTAGCAATAATCAAAAGTAAAATGGAACTTCACCTGAAAATGAGGATAGATAATTGAGAAGATTCAAGATCATATCCGGCAGTGTTTGAGGTAGCATCGGCAGAACAGGGACGAAGTTTCCTAATGCAAGCGCATACGAGAAAACAAACATGTCTCCAATGTAGAGAAGCTCGTCGCCTTCCGAATGAGACACTCTGAGGAGCCGAGACTGATTGGCTTGTGAAGGTAACAGACATCGGGAGTATTCGCCATAGAATAAGTAGCAGTCCCTAAACAAACATCCAGTTTTCATTTCAAGATATGATAACATAGTGAAATTAGACTCCAAAATCGTTTTTTTTAAATAACGCCTGCAATTCGCAAGCGTAAATATAACAAGAGTAGCATGAGCTTGGAACTTTTCAAAGCCATGGTACCAACAAACACAATGTAATTTACTGCATAGACAACAAGGCTATAAACTCACCTGTTGTCAGTGCACTCTGGGTTTTCCACCACCTTGCGTGCATTGAGGCATCTGAAATTATTCTTATGTCTCTTCTCGGGGGGAGAGAAGATGAGTTCCTCGGCAGACATAGACCAGGTGGGGGTATCGAAGTGGAAACACAGATCCCCTGTGTTGTCAGGTGAACAGCACTCCACCGGGACAGTTGTGTCCGCATATTTGACCATTTGTTCAGGCCTGGAATCAAAAAATGAAATACTGATCACTTGATTAAATTATATGATTACACGAAAAATGACTTGCTCACTACAATCGCAACAAATCTTTTTAAAAAAATAGCGCAAACCTCGCACCTACGGAGCTTCAAATAGATCGTTGAACGTAAGAGATTCCTAAAACAAAATACAAAAACAGCGAAATTTAATGCAACCGTTAAGATAAACTGGGGTTTCTAATTCAATAATTAAACCATTCTTAAAATTAACCTTTATAATACTTTTGACCAAAAGGTCATATCTCCGGAAATACGCAATTTCATCAGATATGAGAACTATATTTTTAAAAAGAACCTAAAATACCGACATCCTACAACTACCCTTTTCATTAAATTTACTTTGAAACTGATTCAACCAATAACCACTTGGTTCAACCAATTTGGTTCAAAACATGCCTTATTTAACCAATAAATCTTTGCTCAACATTGCCTTTTCAGGAATGCATTCTGAACCTGGTTAAGGCCAATGAATGGAAATCGTTTTCCACGCCAATCCAAACCTTCAGTCAGACGTGTACCCTCAACCAATGTAGTGCACCATTAAAACATGCATAATTTACAAAAAGTTTTAGAGCATTTACAATTTGTTTCATCATTGTTAAAAAGCAAAATTAGTTGAACCGGTTTGGTTAAAAATAATTAAATTGATTAATGATTAAAACATTGGTTATAACTTTTCAACTGTTAATACAGTAGCGGATTTAGGGGGGGGGGGATGGACGCCACCCTCAGGGATTCGACCCCCTGCCGACCCAAAGAATCACCTTTGTACTACTTTGAGATATCCATTTTTGGATAACTGACCTTAAAATTTTTCTAAAGGCGCCAATATATACTTATTTTGAGGATGCAGCGCGCGCGCCGAAAAAACGCGCTTTTTAGGTCCAAATTTTCTAAAAAAAAAAAGAACAAAAAACGCCTTTTCTGCAGCGTAGAAAATTTTGTCAATTTAATTATAACATGGATCATTATAGTGATTTATAGTGATTTGGGAGAGCTTTTGGGTCTTTATAGTGATTTCGGATAGCACACAAAATCAATTTGGTCGACCTATAATTTTTTTTTGAAAATCCTCCCCCCTTGAGAAATTCTTAGATCCGCGCCTGTGTAAATCTATTGCATGAAATTCCACGTAATTATAAGCAAAAAAAGTCTTCTATTTCGTCTACCTTTTCGTATCTTCTATGACAGATAGATCCACACAAAATCCATTCGGGTCCTCCGAGTACACGGAATGTATGCAAGACCAGAATGAAACCGAGTCAGTCACTGGACACCTGATAAAAACCAATCCGAAACAAGTGACATAGATAATTATTTACGTCTTTCCATTGAGCACTCAAATTTAGTTAACTACCACCCAAGAATTTGAATCGATTGGTCAGAAAAACGGTTGGCAAGAAATAACACACAGTTAGTCCTTTTTGATGGTTTATCGAACAATCTCCGGAGATTTTCAGACATTTTTAGGTCGACCAAATTGATTTTTCACGCTTTTTTAAAACTTAATTAAGACAATATTTTGATTAAATTTTTTCTGCGCCGCGGTTAAACATTTGAAAAAACAGGCCAGGCCGCTTTTGGGTTTTTTGGAAGTTTTTGAGCAAAAAATTAAATTTTGTCGCCGCTCGCTCCCCCTCAAATTTTATATATTTGCGCCTTATTAAAAATTTTAAGGTCGGTCGGCCAAAAATGGATGTAAAATAATACCGAAGGGGGCCCTTTGGGTGGAAAGGGGTTAAAATACCCGTCTATGATGTCCTAAATCCACCCCTGTCTATGATGCTAGTAAATTTGCCCACCTGTTGATATCCGTAACCACGGTTCCCACTGGGAATGAAACTGGACTGTAAAGAGGTGAGTTGGGATCTACATTACGGACCATGACTCCTTGGCCACTGATGTACAGGGGAGACAGAATGGCGGGTAGGTATGTCATTAGCATGTAGGTGATTGCAAGGATTACGAAATTGTGCCATACCTAGAACAGGCAAATATACCCAATTGCTACAAAAAAAACTATTTCAAGTGAATCATAGAGAGCACTAATACGGAACTAAGGCTTCAAAACCCAAGAGCGTTAGTAAAACTAGATCAATTTCTTTACAGAAAAATTTATGGTTCCCAAATCACGAACTTTTCAATCCATAAATAAGCAAAACTTTTACTAATTTAAAACTTTTATTGTGCTGCAGATTTGTTTTCAATAAGTAATTTCTTTTTACAATATCTACCTGAACAAACTTCAAGTACTTCCTTTAATGATAAAGCTACTGATAAACTTCATATTTTCTGGAACTTCAACTACTAATTTTTCAAGAAAGAGCTGCTACCAGTTTTCAAATAAAGCAAGTGTTTCATTTGTTACTTACACCAGCACAGTATATCCTGAGTTGCTGCACTGGCTGTTTATTCAGCAGGGATTCTGTGTCCAGGTCCACGAATGCCCCTGGATATACGAGCATGAGAAACAGTCCGAACCCATTGAGTTTGACACCTTCGCCTATTGCACAGACTGCATGGCCTGCCTCATGTAACACGGCACTCAGCAACAGAGCCAACACCATGTATACTATCTGATAAAAATACGAAAAAAGTTGAATCTACCAAAGTTAAAGATTTCAAAATTACCATCAAAGTTTATTTAAAGCAAAGTTTATTAAATGATAAAGATGGAAAAAAGGACAACTGCTTCATTAAACAGCTGAAATTGCAAAACCTGTAACTATCTTGCATGAGCACCACCCAACCCACCATCTAGCAATTCATCAACAAAAACACCAATACGTTTATTCATTACACTAAAATTTACATTCTCTGATTTAAAAATATAAACAACACAACCCCTAAACCTGCAGTTTAATCATGAACTTACTTGCGAACTTGGAAGGTTCAGTCCAGGAACTACCATAGTCAGTTTTTGGTGCGGCTCTTGTTGTTTTTTATCTCTCTCAATTGTGAACGTATTCCATAAGGACAGTATCAAAATCACTACTGATGAGACCATTGCTACTAGTCCAAATATGGCACCGACACAGAACCATTTCCGCTGCCACCTGGGACAACACTTAGAACATCTGGCAAAAAATCTGTTCAGGCTTGTAGTGAAAATCTTCACGTGTCCCAAGGCAACGGTTATTCCAAATATGGCCAAGAATCGCTCGTATTTAGTTCTGAGATTCGACCGCTTTATGAAGAAATTTAGACTGAACAGTAGTCCCCAGAACAGCGAAAGAAATGCCGCTACGGACAAAAACTCTGAAGCCATGACCGGAAATTGACAGGGTCATTTAGAAGTGGCTCGTCGTTCAAGGACCCCACCCAACATTTTCGGTAATGTATTATAGACTAGGGGATACAATGATGTCAGTCAGACGATAATATGTGACAGATAACATCAGAATCTGAAAATCACAGGACACGTTTATGTTGTCAGGTAAATCGCACACATGATTCTCATAGCGCCTGACGTATGCTCCATTTGGTTATTTGATTTGATAATGGTTATCAAATCTTGGAATTGTTCTTATTGTTCTAAGCACGCAGTAAAAAAATACTTGGGGCTCGAAAGTTTTTGTTGCAGGCAATATAAGGTACTTCAAGACATTGTCATTGCTGTACCTAATTGAGCACTTTTCATCGTACTGATTTCATTTTAAACACAGAATTTAAGTTTGTATACATTTTAGTGAACAAATTGAATTTAATTAGTGGTTTTTTCTTTCTCCAAGAAAATTTGCTGTTTCTCAGAACGAAGTAAATATGAGAAGCAACAAATTTTCCTGAATAAAGAAAAACCACAATAACTAAATTCAACTCGTTAGCTAACAGGTAATAATGTACTTCAACATACCATCCTTTACTCCAGAAAGTGTTCTGAAGCACCTAAATTGACGCGGCAGAAAAGCCCATGCTATGCCATAGTTTTTTCTCATCCTTGAAAAATTTCTAGCAATTAAAAAGCCATCTGTATTAACCCTACGCTTGTCTTTAAACCAATCGGTAATTTGAATTTGTAGAATTTTCTGGTATAAAAGCTGCTTAGTTTGGTTAAAATGAATCTTTCAATTGAAGGCGTCCTTTATTTGATGACTTCTCTAAACTATATTTTACACATGCCAACGAAAACATAGCCAACAGACTGTTGGAAAAGTCAATGAACGCATCAAAAAAATTCACTTTTTTTGAAAAAGTAAACCTTTCAAATTTCAAGGTTAAAAAACATGGCTTTAAAATCCTTTACATTTCAAGAAAAATTTATGGTGCTGACACTTTTTAGATTGGTTAATTCTAGTTCTTGTGAAAAACTGGATCAATAGGTTAAAGATTTTTCCGCTGGGAAATCTGAAAATCAAATACAGAAAAGATCACGTTTTTGTGACCTTTACACTTTTGCTCTTCGATAGTGGAGTTTGCTATCTTTATAACACAGGAAATTAACTGAACTTTAAAAATATGACAAGTCAAACAGCGAAAAATCTTATTGGAGCGTGAGCATATTTCTTAAAGTTTCCTGGAAAAAAAAATCATCATGATTAGAAAAGCCTTCACTACGTTTATCGAATCTTAAAAATAAACGACCTTGAAAACCTTTAAAACTAACGAAACTTTGATGACCATGCTTTTGGTATCAAGAGTTGTAAAATTTTTATTTCAACGCAATTTAGAACCGGGGTTTTATTTGATTGCATTTCTTATTTTTTCAATTAAAAAAAAAAGCGTCACTTTGACGAGGTGCACAAAATACATTTTAGAAAAATATAGCCGCTCGGCTCCATCAATCAAAAAATGGTCCTAAATTGCGCTTTTATAGCTCATTATAATTTGGAATAGTTGAAAACGCAGAGGCGAAGCTATCTGTCTCGAACGCAAGCAAGATAACGGCAAAAAGTAGCTCAAAAAAGGTTAAACGGTGAAATAAGGAAAGACACGGCAAAATGAAACTTTTGCTAGGTTTCGGAACCGAACCGTCACTTCGTCTGTTTAGTCCCACGTCCTCGCATTTGCGCCATGGTAGCTTGAAAAAATACAAACACTAGCCACCAACAAAACTGATGCTATCAAAATGCCATAGCTATGCAGCAAATGAGCAACCAAAAAAGCTCTATTTGCTAATTGGGTAAGAAAGAAAGTTTATTTGTAATATAACACTACACCCGCTAAGTGGCTTATGTAGCATAACCAGCAGACAATCAATTAACTCAACTGAGGAAAATTTTGAGTTTAAAAGAAAGACAGCCAACAGACAGTTGCAAAAGAGTCAATAAACGAAAGAAAACAAAAAAATGCGAAAATAAACGAAAGAAAACTTATTCTTTGCAAAATTTCAACTTTCGGATTTCAAATTAAAAAATAGATCAAACTTAGAAGCTCTTTGAATTTCTGGAACAATTAATGACTGACACATTTTCGATAAAATTGAACAAATTTAAGAAAATTGGGTCAATGAGTAGTTTTTTTTGTTCCGGAGGGAAATCTTAAACTTTAAAAAATTGAAATTCACTCGAAATGTTTTTTGTGACCTTCACACATTTGCTGTTTGATAGTGAAGTTTGCTCTCCTCAAAAAACCAAGTTAAAGAAAATTGAAGTCAAATTGCAAAAAAAAATTAGAACAAACTTTGAGACGTTTTCCTGAAAAACAAAAAATCATCACGACCTATAAGAGAGTCTTCAATACGTTCATCGACTAATAAAAAAACCACCTCGAACCTCTTTCAGTTTTAGGAAAACTCTGTTTATGAAAATTATTTGACACACTAATCCAAGTAGAGAAAACCGGACCAAACGGTTTAACTTTTCTACCACTGAAAACCTTAAAGCTGAAATCCACATTTGAAACTAAAGTCAATTTTTGCACCATATGCATGTTTCTAATTGGAAAACTTTATTTTCATTCCATTTGGCAAAAGAATTACAAGTGCAACTCAATTAAAAATGAAACAAAAAGCCAAACCACGAAAAATCTTTTTAAGCGTGAGCAATTTCAAGACTTCCTGGTTTTCCTAAAAAAAACATTATTTAATTAAGATTTAATCATGTACGATACTTGTCCAAAGAAATTTTGTTGAAATCCTTAGGTCTGTTCAATTCGCATTGAAAAAATTAATTTTCACACCATTTAAAATTGGAAGTCATAGTGAGCTTCAAATTAATTTCGAAATTCGCCTTATATAACAAAATAACGCTCGCTTTATTCGCTCGAATTGAAATAAAAATTAAAAAATTTCAAACCAGTTTTTCTCGATACTGAGAAAACTTTTAAATTTTTTAAAAAATTTTGTTCGAATCACGACCGAAAAGGCTTCAATTTGATATATCACTCGATCAATTCCGATGATGATTTGTGGCAGTTGCTTATGTGCGGAAAACAAAAATAGAAAAACTAAAACACATTCGAACACAAAAGCTCCTCCCCATTTTTTAAATGGTCGGAACAAAAAACGTTTGTAAACATTTTCAACAATTGTTGCAACACATTAAAAAACTTTTTAGTCATTTACTCAGCTTTTAATTTCACAAATACACAAACTGTCAAGCCAATCATTCTGGTCACCTAGAATACCTGTTCAACTAAGTTATCGGATGAAACACAAATTTGCTCTCAGGTCAATTCTATTTCTAGTAAAGAATATTTAAAACATCTGCCAAAATGAATGGGGAATCTTATATACTGTTACAAATCGCTTTGACAAAAACTTATAGAACATAAATAATAAATCAGCAAATAAAAAGAGAACATATAGCCATAATTTTTCATACGCTCAATTAGACTCTGAGCGTTTTCTTCTTCTTCGGCCATCTGCAACCGAATCTCTGTTAGCACTGCTTTTGCGTTCAGAACGCTTCGATTCCTTTTTATGTTTCGAATCTTTGATCATTTCTTCTTTCAGTTTATCGTATTGCGATACTATTTCGTGGCCCAATGTATCTGCCACATTCAGTCCTGATCCTACTTTTTTCACCTCTTTTGAATACAAACCATTTTTGTCGCCTTTCCTGTTCTCTTTATCTGTGTCTCGAGTCTTCCGACGATCTCTGCTAGATGACGAACCACTTCGATTCTTCCGAGAAGTCGTTCTGGCTGGAGAGTTGCTTCGATCTTTACTTTTTCTTCGTCGTTCTCTTGACTGATTTCGTCGGGGTCTTTCTGGCGACGAATTTCGGCAATCTGATGGTTCTCGTTTCACGCGGGCCTCTGGCAAGTTCCTCCTTTCTCGTGAGCTTTTTCTCTGTTTTCTCTCACGTGTCCTATCTTTTCTCCTTTCCTGTGACACTGATCGCTCTTTTCTACTTTCCGATCCGTTTCCATCCTTTTTATCATGTTGCTCTTTTCGTGTCGCATTTCGGTCACGAGATGAACTGTGCTGTTGTTTTCGGCTAGGCGATTTGTTGCGACCTGTTTGGTCGTTAGCACCATCTTTGGATTCTTTAAGTTTCCTGCTTTCAGTAGTAGGTTGTTGTTGTTGTCTTTTTTGTCGGGACAGACTGTTGATATTTGGAGTTCCGGGTCGACTATGCGGTTTTCGTTGGGGCGTGTTGTTGTTGGCTTCATCTTCTGAACTAGAAGAAAGTTTGCGGGATTGCTTCCTGAAATAACACTCAATTATCATTATCCACCACAGTAATACCAGCTCAAAAATAAATGTGTTAGGCGAACAACTGAAAAAAATACCGCATCGCATTCGCATCTTACACTTGTAAAGAAATTGCCAATTACCTATCAACATAGAAATTAAATTTAATTGTGATTTAATTTATTCACATCAATCAGTAAAATAAAATCAACACACATCTTTGATATTGAAATTATTTATCTTCTTGGTTCGTCTACTGCAGTGATGAATCATGACTACTCACCTGTGATGTTCTATGGCGGCCCTGCGGAGTATATTGTCCCTGGTGGTGGATCCCTTGCAATGTCTCTGGCGAGAGGGGGTCCCACCCGCACTGTGACTGTTCCACTCATCAACCATCACCTCGTTCTTCACTCCTCTGTGGGGACTTGTGTGCAGACTGTTGCTTATGACTTCCCTGTGCAGCTCGTGTAATCTTTTGCCTAACCACGTCACAACAAATACATATATAATCTCAGGAAATGAAAATTATAAATGGTCTTGATTTTTTGTATGCAATACGTTTTCTTCACAACTCGTCTGAGGAATACATAAAATGGAGGTGAAACATCCTGAGGAAAAAACGAGGAAACAAAACGACACATAAATTATTTGACTTGCTGTTCGAAACCGAGTCGGGGATAGTTATTATGGGCACTCAAGGGGTTCCATCACCCCTCACCCCTATTACACCTCTGCTTGCTTGAAAAACTGGTTGTTGGTTTAAAATTTAACAAATCAACATAAAAACAGTCTTCTGAAAATGTAAACTTGTATTGCGATTCAGAAGATCGTTTCTCACCGTTGTTGTCTTGAGGATCCTCGGAGGAGGTGGAGTCTGAATTACTGCTACTGTCACTGCTGTCGTCCTCTGATGATGAGTCATCTGAGCTATCATCCATCCCTTCTCTCTTCGGAAGGGCCACGTTGGGGGCTAACATTAAGTATTATAGTTTAAATCTAGATTACAGTCTTCGCATCCTACTTTTTTGCTTAGTGTCCCTAAATTACTATCTAAGTAAAATGTGTCTTAGGCAAAAAAGAACTTATTCCCTACAATAGACAACGCAAACTATGTAACTAGAGTTTAAAAAACACACTATGGTTTGTATGAAATTCGTTGGTTAATCAGTTTCATCTGAAGAAGTTATTTTGAATTTGGTCAATTTTTCGCAGCAAACAAATCGTTCTTAGACGAGTTCATTTCATACAATACTATAAATTGAAAACAATTTCAATTAATCTCAGATCTACTGACATACCTCCGTTTATGTTAGTTGTGGATGAAACAGATGCAATATGGGCCCTCAGTTCGTCCGTCAGTCCTCCCAGTCCAATTGAGGTGAACATATTAATGGCAAAGCGGGTATGCTTAGGGTTGTCTCGCGGGAATATCCCTTCGAAGTAAACTGCCATCGTCCTAAACCAAACACACCAATTTGACACGTTCCAATTGATAGATTTACTGAATTTGCATTTACAATTACTAAATTTTATTGAATTCGAATTTGTAATTCTATTTATAACAAGTACAACGCAGATTTTTTTATTGGAAAATAGGAAGCTCAAATTGACTTACGGGTCACTCAGTCTTGAATGGAGTCTCGGTAAGCCCATGTGTTGGGATAGCTCTTGGAATAGGTATTTGATGAAAATTCTACCCGATGAGGTTGTCTCGTTTTCGTTCAAATGGATGCACTCGATCACCTGAAAAGCATGTCATAGCTTTTATGTCAGGCGTTCACGTCTTCCAAAACCTACCATCCTTTTTTGGTAAGTTCCCTTCAGTTGTACCATTTAGCACCTTTGAAACGGAGCTTCGCATAACTTGCGATACCACAAAAATAGCATAGCAAGCTAGCAGACAGAAAAGAAAAGGAGAGCCACCAAGTCCCGATGAAACAGAAAAATTTCCGAAGGAACCACAATTAATAATTATGTCTGAAATCATTTTCTATTTGCTGAAAACACGTCCAGTAACACATTCGACGGCATTTAATGAAAATTCAAATACAATTATCAAGCGAAAATAAAAATGTTGTCATGAAAAACTTTGAACTATAAAATCTATTCTGAGATTCTCAACGTTTTCTGCGATCTGGACGAAAGTATACACATTATGGTTCCGTCGAGCGACACAAAATTAGTAAGACAATAAAACATAAAACAAAATCATTTAGGCCGAAAAAATTTTTTAGCGAAAAAAAAACAAAGGAAAATAAACGAAGTCAAGGTTAAATGAATTACAGATTGCAGGAGTAAATGAAAAACTAAAAAGCAACTACAATGAAAACAGCATGCGGCAAAAAATTCTAAGATGTGACAACTAAGCCGACAAAATATAAGTAAACGATAATGAGCCTACAACTTTATTGAAACGGAATAATTCCCCTTTTTTAAAAAAAATAGGCCCTACTCAGATTCGAAACCACGACCTTTGCCGTCCCAGGCGTATTCGTTACCTCCAGGGTAAGTGTACCGAAGACGTTTAGAAATTTGAATTCAAAATTAACCTATATACCAAGTGACTCTGTTTTTGTCTATGTTGCAATTTTATAACGCTTGCTAATCGCAAATATAAGCAAGGGTAGCCGGTATGTTCCAGCCATACTCATAAAAAATAACTAAAAAGTTTTTCATGTTATTTTTTTTCTTCAAAATTAGGTTTGTTTCTGTAAGTCCTGTGCTAAAAGATTCTGAAAAAACATACAATTTTAAAATAATCGACAACCACAATCACTTGACTCAAGCACTTGCAGGCAACTTCAATTGCTTATGAAAAAGGGGTACCGTGCAACCATCCGATAAACCAAAAGAGTCGCAAACATCCGAAAAAAAAACAGCTTAACTAGGGCAAACAACCGACATTTAACAAAAAATATAGCAAAGATCCGATTTCTACCGTTCGCTTAAAAGATGTTGCATTGGCAGAAAAAAGTGACCGCCACAGTCGTGCCAACGAGTAACAAGCTTGCAAACAGAGGGTAAGAATCTATATGAAAAATAGAACCAGTTATGGCCAGGAAGCGTTGACACGCGCTAAATTGGAATCGATGTCTTGTATTCGAAACTCTAACGTCATAATATTACGTAATTATTACATAAGTTCGGATGTTTGACAGCGGATGTTTGCCCTAGACCCCAAAAAAGTCAAAAATAGTTCATGGAGCTACTTTAAAAGTGAAAACACTTTCTAGAATTATTCACTAACAGTCCATGGCAAGGCGTCACAGTAAAGCATATGACCGAAAAGTTTGGCCACATTGCGCAGTTTGTTCGAGTCTAGACGGTGGATGGTTTCGTATTGCTGTTTGAAGATGGTCTCGAAGCCCTGCATGTACTCCTTGCGTAAGAGGCAGAACTTGCTGGCTAGGAGTCCATAGAACCTCTCGTAGCTTCTCTGTTGTCCACAGCAGTCCACCACCATCTGACACAACTCCATCTAAACGTGCATTGATTGAAATTTTCCGAAAAAAATACGAAAAAAAACAGTGGCGAAACTGGGCTTCGCGCCTTTTGCGATACATTACCTGCGTAGTATTGCACGCTAGCCGGAAGAAAAATCAAAAAAACCTTACAATCGAAAAAAAAATTTGATAAAAAAGGTCGCATGAACTAGTTCCATAAATTTTCCTCGTTTTTACTCGGATTCCAAAAAAATTTTAAGCAAGTTATTTAAGATTCGAAAAAAATGGCTGTTATTTTTTCTTTTACATGGAGGACGAGATCCGGTGAACTCAATTACCTCAATTTTGCAATTTCTAAACGTTCTGTGCTGTTTGCACAGAAACCAGCTTTCCATGTAAGTCTACAATTTAACAAGGCAAAAAAAACGTAAATGTTTATGTACTTATGATCGTGCCTTAATTAGAATGTTATGAATTTGTATTGTTTCCGCTTTACCATTTCAACCTTGAGTTACTGACCATTTGATCCTCTTTGATGTCCAATTTAAGTAGTTTGTGTGCGCACTCCTCGAAGGTGAGTGAGCTCTGAATGGTGAGGTAGACAGTCCTCCGCAGCCCCATGAGATCAGTCTCCGTCTTGTCCACTATCTTCTGGGTGGACGCTGAGCTCTCCAGGCCAGTTTCACCTCCAGCCTCATTCGCACTAGAAGAAAACATCATCACATTTACCAAGTGAATTAAAAAGGAGACAAATTTCTTAATCAAAAAAAAAATTCTGTTGAGCTGTTATGGCACATTAAACTTAACAGCTGAGATTCGAGTCATTTTGGAAATTCCTTTCTAGAATTGAACATTAGGAGCTCATCTAACCAGAGAAGAAAATCAACAGCCGATTGCATACACTGCAGATTGGTTAACTTTTAGTGCGAGACTACTTCAGAACTTTTCACAAGAAAGTGGGAAACCTGGCACGAGGATAGCCGAATACTGAACCAGTTGAGGAAGAAGTCAAAGCTATTCGAATAACGTGTCTTAGTTTTGAAAAAGTGGGAGAACCATTCCGTTGCAAAACACACACCTCTCTTCTTCGCTATCGTCTCCCTCTTCCGTGTCCCCCTCCGACCCACTGTCCCCTCCCCCTTCTTCATCGTCACTGTCTCCACCCAGAATGGCTCGCTTGATCTTCTCATACTTGGCCTCATTCTCCACATATTTTGGGTCACTTCGGAACACATCTGCAATCATCAAATGACATTCACATGAGCCAAACCACGCCACGCAAAATGTAACGGAAAATTAATTACAAAAATTGCAGGAGGGCGGAGGTACGAAAAAGAGCTATGTTATTTTCTCAAGTCCATGAAAAAATTAAAAGAACTCTTGTTTTCATTACAATGAAACGAACATACACAGCCTAGCCTGCCTATCTATTCAATTGAAAGCAACTAAAACATAGCCTGCAGACAGTTGGAAAAAAATCTACGAAGGCAAGTGAACAAAAAAAAATGCTGACTCAGTTTTTTTCTGAAAACTCTTTTAAAAAACGTTCTAATTTCAAATTAAAATAAGGATAGCCGATTGCTGAGCAAGTAGCACAGACCGTTCCGACCACATTTTCAGGAAAAAAAAACTTTTTTCTTCGAGTTAGCGTCTTTTTTGTACGTCGTGTGGTAATACAACTATACAAACGCGTAGAAAATCAGTGAATTAGGTATAAATGAATCCAATGGTCTTCAAAAAGTAATAATATATATAAAATAAAAATTTCCGAAAATTCAATTGTTTTTTATCAATTTTTTTGCAATGATTTTGAAAGATCTTTTTTTGTCAGAAAAGAGCAAAGCAAGGCTTCCAAAATTACTTATCTTCTAACTAAACCCAATTTTTTTAGCCTAAATTTCTCATTTTCATATATAACAAACGTTACTCGATCGCTTTACTTTACTCGCTCGAAAATGGACGAAAAACTTAAACTTTCAAACCAGTTTTTCCCAACACTAGTAAAAATTTTCAAATTCGTTGCAATCACGACGAGAAGAGCTTTCATATAAATGTCCAATGATTATTTGTGGAACCTGATTTTGCGTGAAATTTTTTTTTGCTGAATATTTTTACGAATTGCGTTTTTTTTATTTCCAAGATAGCACTTGAAAACTTTCGAATTTTGTTTCTGGAGCTTAACGAAGGTTTCATTGCTTATTCTTCTATAATAAACCTGCTCGCTTGCTTTACACGCTCAAAATTAGAATAAAACTCAAAAAAATTTCAAACGAATTTTTCTCAACAATCGAAAAAAAATTTCAAAATTTTTACATGTCGTTAAAAGACCTTATTTCTCGACCCATTCCGATAATTTTTTTTGGTAGCTGATTTTGCGATGAAAACAAAAAAACTAATAAAAACTAAACACACCCGAATACGAAGTCCATCCCAATTTTCAATGATCGGAACAAAATTAGATGCCCTTAAAGCTATTCGAATTTCTAGAATAATTTATGAATGACACTTTTTTGAGAAAAAAAACTTAATTTGAGAAAACTGGATCAAAAGGTAAAAATTTTATTCCGCTGTGAAAACTGAAGATTAGATTCCATTTTCGAAACAAGAAGCCGATCACGTTTTTCATAACTTTTACACTTTTGCTATTCGATAGTGAAGTTTGCGTTTCTTTCAACAAAAGGGGAAATGAACTGAGCTTAAAAAGAAATTAAAAGCCAAATCGCGAACAAGTAAATTTCAAGACTTCCTGAAAAAAAGGAAAAATTATCGCGACCTATACTACCTTCATCGACTCTTAATCAAACTGACAACATAATTCATTCAAAAAGATAATAAATTGGGCAAAACGGTTAACTATTTATCGAAGCTATTAATACGAAGTGAATTGTCAATTCGAAAAGTCTAAACGCATTTTCAATGCAAACACAAACTTAAGAATTTCAAGTGGACTCACTGAGGGTGTCCTGTGTCTGTGGCGGTTCCACTTCATCCAGTCTCAAAAGGTGAGTCATCTGGTCACCATCACACACCAAGTCCAAGCTGTGAGTCACCAACGCTTCCTGTGGTTCCTCTTTATCCCTTCTAGGACCTCCAGAGGACCCTACACCTTTGTTTCCTGTTTTCGAGCTGGATTCCGAAGTAGAGGCATTGTTTGCGTTGTTCGTGGGTACTGACGGGTAGCTTTTGAAGCCGTCTTTCCTTACTGCGTGCGCTAGCTCAATCATGTATTGCACTCTCTCGGAAACGGCGCCTCCTTCGTGCAGAATTTGACGCAAACGCTCAAATATTGCTGGAATTAAAGAAAAATAGGTAAGCTTCAAACTAGCTGAATCACAATGTTGTCGCTATTATTTGCCGCTAACTTAAAATAAAGTTTTCCCGTTTCTATTTGCACACGTGATCACGGTTTATTGGACTGTAATAGGCAATACCTGGCGGAAATAAACGCCTGAACGCGTTAAGAAAGATTACTAAAAAGAAAGAACAATCACTAATCCTTTAATTCTTGTCGCCCATTGTAAATTTGTGGGCAAAATAGTCATGAAATTTGATGGAGTGGAAAATTTATCCCTGAATAACTGACAGATTAATGACGTGTAGACATACCACGCTAGTATTATGTGGAAACGTCTGTTACAAAACCAGAGGGGAACTGTGAAGTTTATAAAATATTAACTTCATTAGGCTTCACTTCCATTATCCCGATTTCAAAGTTTAGCCGGCTGGAAGTTATTATTGAGGAAAAATTGACACATTTCACACGAAACAAGGTTAGACAGATAGATCTAAAGCAAAGTGCTTTTCAGAACTGAAGATAGTGTTATAATATTTCGTATTTCAGGCATTTAGAGCTAGAGTAGTCTTATTTATGAAGCGACAATTCGCTGGAAGCGACAATTGCTGAAAACTCCAAGCATAGCATACAGAAAGTTGAAAAATGGCAATAAAAGCAAGGAAACCGAAAAACATGAATGGCTTTCTCTGAAAATTTCAACTTCGACATTACAAGAAAAATACATCATCTTGACAGTCTTCAAATTGTAACACAACACAGTGACGAAGATCACCTTCGCACCAATTGGAATACCATACAAACCTAACATTGGAAGCTGGCGGACAAAAATGAAAGCCACTAAGTGGATGAAAAAAATTGAAAAAAGTCGAACAATTAAACCTACTGAAACTGTGTCAGTTAGTCTCAAATGAGTTCCAGTTTGAGGAAAAGATGTCGAGATACAATCTCCGGCGTTGAAAATCATTCAGAACATTTTTTGAAAGAAAAAGATTTTTCTTTCAATTAAATCAAATTTAGGTGACTAAGCCAATATAATATAAGCAGAAATCATTTAAACTGAATGAAACATTTCCACCAAAAAAATTAGAAGAAAATTATACAAAAATAGGGCTGGTAAATTAAGAAACTTCGGAAGCAATTTACTAAGCCGACAAAAAATTAGCACACAAAACCAGGAGGCTCAATTTAATTCTCAAATTATGCTTATAAATACTCGTTTTTAATCTTGCTTTTACAGCACTCTAAACAGAATCAACTTTTTGGCATATCCTTCTCTCTTTCTTGCTTTTGAGGATTTTTTTAAACGGTAAATTTTTTCAATTTGGCAACTTTTCAGATTCGAGCTCAGGGCTTTTATGGCCCCGGCTTAAACATAAGCGTTGTGAAGTTTTAATTTCAACGCTGTCGTACATTTAACAGAGGAAACACGTAGAATTCATTCAAATCACCTTAAAACACGTTCCTTCTATAACATACGAGCAGCAAAAAAAAAGACATATAAAATGCTAAGCCAACTGACAGTTGGAAAAGAGCAAGAAACGCAAGTAAACAGAAAAAAAAACACTGACTTTGTTGAAAAAACTCACCTTTCGAATTTCAAAGAAAAAAGAGATGCCCAATGCCCTTTGAACTTTTAGAACAATTAATGATTGGTTCTTTTCTGATAACATTAACCCAAGTTGAGAAAACAGGATCAATAGGTAAAGTTTTTTTTTATTCCGCTGGAAATCTTAAAATCAAATTCCACTTTCGAAACTAGAATTTGTTCACGTTTTTTCGCGCCATTTCCACGTTCGTATTTGAAAAGTGCTATTTAAGCAACTTTCAGCAGACGAATTTCAACTGAACTCAAAAAGTGAAAATATGCCTAAAGGCATTCATAAATGCATTAATATGCATGAATGCACATCTGTAGGTATTGGAGCATTAAGAGTTTTGTCTGCGTTCATTACTCTTAATTAATCAAAATAAGTAAGCTACAAATTTAATACAAAAGCTACTTTATTTCAAGAAACTGCCGACCGAAAGTTAATTACTATTTTTCAAAACAGAGCGAACAAACAGTTGAAGAACAAAGTAAACAGAAAAAATATTGAGTTATTTCTTAAAGAAAATTAACTCAATTTGAGAAAACTGGATCAATAGATAAAAATTTTATTCCGCTGGAAAACTGAAAATTAAATTCCACTTTCGAAACCAGAACTCCATCACGTTTTTCACGACCCTTACACTTTTGCTATTCAATATTGAAGTTTGCTTACGATTTAAAAAAAAAAGGAAATCAACTGAACTTAAAAATAAATCAAAACTCAAATGCGAAAAACTAGATTTGAGCAAATCTTAAAAATTTCCTTGAAAAAAAAATTAAAAAAATCATCTCCACCTGCTATATAATTCTGAGCTACGTTCTAAGTGTCTTAAAAAATTTTACAGTAGTAATTTGCTTAAATCAAGAAGGAAAAAAAGATTGGATACTGATTTTTTATACAGAATTGGAGCTGCGCTGGAACAGGGTTGGAACACGACAAAACAGAGTTGGAACACGACTTATACCGAGTTGGAACACGACAAAAAGCAGCTCTATAAGGTGCAAAAGAAAAAAAGTAGAAATAAGCCTCGCATTAGTAAAAATTCAGCTACGTCTCGGATTCGAACCTAGGAGCAAAAAAAAGAGTTCGCTGCCTCTCGTAATACAATTTCCTGAAATACTTAACAGCATCTCTGACATGTTGTCGTATAACGATTAACTAGTGAGCAGTAATGAATATTCGCAAATTAGCTTTTTGTCTTAAAATTTCAAATTTTTATTGCAATTAGTCAGTCCATAGTTCTATGTGATCTTACAGTTCATTCCTCTGGGCGACACTTCCGTCAGTTTCTGGCCCACTTCTTTCACCAGAGATATGGCAAGCTCCACTCCCGCATCGGTCACTGGATCCTTGAGCAGCAGAAGCAGGATCTCCAGAGACAGCACTTCGTGAGCCACCGACTGGTTGACAAGATGTGCTATCAGCTTCAAGGAAGTGATGCACTGCTGTTTCGAGTTGCGTCGGTAGAACTTGCGGAAGTTCAACACTAGACGTCGCAGAATTAATTCCCCAATTTGTGGGAACTAAAAAGCAGTTCCTCGATAATCAGTCAGGCACGTGAATTAAATTCCCAATGTTATATTTCACCTAAGAGGTGATCACTGAGTGAGAAGTTTACCGTAATCACTCAGAAAAAATTACCAAAATCACTATATGACAAATTCCAAAAGTATATTTCAACGTAAATCGTAATAATTGAGTGAGAAATTTCAAATTGTATATTTCAATATAAACCGTAATCACTGAGTGAGAAAGTACAAAGAAAATGATGGTAAATAACTGTAATGGTTTTTAAAATTGAATACCGAAGAGGAAAAACAGAAAATAGGTAGGAATGAATGGTTCCATGGTATTAAATCGACTTACTTTGCTGTTAACGACGGCAATTAAGGCTGCATACACTGGAGTGAAGGTTGGGGAGAATGCTTGGGCTTCAAGCACAGACTTGGCGAAGAGACCTCTGAAATAGCAGGAGAAGATCGATTTGGATACAATACATTGAACACTGTCAGTCGCAAACACTGTTATGTACAAACTGAGTGTCTAAAAAATATAATCCTCAAAAATGCAAACGCATCGTCATCAATAATTTCATTTTAATGTCCCTAACGCAAATTTGAAAGTTAATAAATTAACAGAAATAAAGCTCTATGAAAAAGCACCTATAAACAATTTTGTTCCTACAAAATCAGAGAAATATTCGTTCGATCAGTGAACCATAGCAAAGTATGAAACCCAACATTAAAAGAACAAAATCACCAAGAAACTATGGCGTTGTGGCGCTCCGGTAGTGACGGTGCACCGCAATCATATAATAGCTGGTTCAAATCGCACGTAGGCAGCTTAATAGGGTGCTGTTTATATGCACTTCTGTCAATTTAAATAGTTAAACTTCGGGTTAGGCCTCCGAGTTGTTTGACTAAAAAAACTAAGCCAAAAGGAAAACTATGAAATCATAACAAATAATATTATCTTTGATTATTTGCCAGCGCAACCAAAACAAAACATAGCCAACCGAAGATTGAAAAAGAGTAATTAACGCAAGTAAACAAAAAACACTGACTTTGTTGAAAAAATTTCAACTTTCGAATTTCATAGAAAAAATAGACGCCCTTTTTATGCTCTTTGAAATCCTAGAACGATTTATGATTGGCGCTTTTTTGATAACCTTAAGCCTACTTGAGAAAAGTGGATCAACCGTTTTTATTGCGCTGGAAATATAAAAATTAAATTCCACTTTCGAAAGTAGAAATCGTTCATGAATTTCAATTGAACTCAACAAGTGCATATATACCTAAGTGCAGGGGCGGATCTAGGATTTTCTCGAGGGGGGGGGGGGGGGGGGCGGATTTTCGAAAAAAAAAATCGAAAAAACAGTCCAAAAAAGGCGTTTTTAGGCACTTTTTGGAAAATTTTAGAATAAAATTAGAATATATTGGCGCCGAAGGCGCATTTAGAAAAATTTTAGGGTCAATCTGCCAAAAATGGATTTCTTAAAAAGTACCATAGGGGTGACCCTTTGGGTCGGCAGGGGGTCGAATCCCTGAGGGGGGGGGGGGGGGCGTCCGCCCCTGCCTAAGTGCATTCATAAATGCATAAATATCTATGAATGCAAATCTGTAGCTTTTATGCGCATTCTTAGACTTTTCCCTGAAAAAAAAACAAAAAAAATCAGCAAGACCTATATAAGTCTTCACTACGTTCATTACTCTGAGGGAGTTCAAGATCCGTGTTCGTCCTTTTGGATTCATACCTTAAATTTAACGTCTGGTTTGATTTTGGTTGCCAAATTTTTCCAAAGATTCGCCACTTTGGTTTTATTGTACGACAGCCATTCCTGGCTAACCAACCCTCAACTTTTCTTAAAGCTTCTTGGCGCCAAAATCCCAAAAGGTACCGATTTTAAAAGGGACGCGCGCGCCGAAAAAAAAACGCTATTATTGGTCAACACCTTCCAAAAACGCCTAGAACGGAATTTTTTCCAGCAAGTTGTCTGCGACGCAGAAAACTACGTCAAAGATAGTCAAGCGGTTTCGGCAGAGCTACAAAACTTTAAAATGGTTAACCTATATAAAGTCGAAAAAAGTCGTAAAAACCACTCTCCGTTGAAAAAAAACTCCCGGCGTATGCCAATGCAAATGAGCTATCGCATTCTTGCCATTTCAGCCATGATTATTATTCAAAACGGATTCAGATTCCAAGTATTTTTAACGGAGAAATTTTCAGCGGTGACGGTGTTTTACAGGCTCTTTTATGAATCTTTCAAACAAGGATTTTTATAAACTTCCGTAATTTTATAACGCGCCGAGCTGTAAAAACTCTCGGATTTCTAAAATTTAAAATAATAACTTTTGAAATCAACTGATGGAGTTTTTGTTATTGGAGATCTCAATTTGCCATCTATTTAGCAAAGAAAGGTGATCGTAAAAAATCTCATGCCGTGAAGGACTAACTTGAGCTTCAAGAAAATTCATTGCAAACAAAAAAACTCGACCTAAATAAGAAGACAAAGAAAACAAGGTTGACTAAATTGACTTTTTTAGGTTGACTAAATTGATTTTTGGAGCTCTCCTAGAGCACTAAAAAAACAGGCCAAAAAGGGCGTTTTTAGGCACTTTTTGGAAAATGCTAACCAAACAATCGCGTTAATTTGGCGCGCGCTTCCCCCCTCAAAATCAGCACTTATTAGAACCAAAGGCACCATTGGAAAAATTTAAGGGTCCGTTAGCCGAAAACGGATATCTCAAATTAGTACAAAGGGGGAGGGGCTTTGGGACGGCAGGGGATCGAATATTTGAGGGGGGCGTCCGCCTCTAAATCCACTGGTACATGCACGACCATTACAAGAATATCTCCTTTATCTCCTTGCTATTTCACTTACTTGCTACTACACAGACTTCTATTATAGTTTAAGCATTTTTTTATCGGCATTCAATTTTCAGCTTGCAACAACCACAAGTCTTGGCCGGATTGATATTCTGGAACAGTCAACTACGTTACCTCTTTGCCAATAGTGCCGATTAAAAAAAACCTGAATCAGAATTCATTATGAACCAGACTATCAAATTATTACGTTGAGATTACGTTGGACAAGCTGTTAACCAAAAATAAAATCTATGTTCCGATTTGATAATTTAGCTAATTTTGATCGTAATAAAACTAACCCAAATAGAGAAAACTAGACTGATAAGTAATTCTTCTATTCTGCTGGGAAGTTTTAAATATAAACTCCATTTTGATTTGTTTATATAGAGTGCAAATTTGGGCGCCGATTGCGTGTAGCAATTTGAAGTGCGCAATTTCACTTACTGCTATCAATGACACTTGGTTCAGCTACGCTTGTAGAACTAGAGGCCCAGCTAAAGCTGGAGGTACCTGTTTGATAATTTTCGAACTTATTGTACTGATGCAGGATAACGTAGGTATTCAAAAATTTAAGAATTGGGCTTCTACCAAAACCTTAGCTGTTGCTCTATTAAAAAATGAGTGAAAAATTTGGTGATTTTAGAAATTTCCCAGAAACATATTTTTTTTGTTCAAACTTTAAGGCGTAGCATCTGATGAACAGATGTTTCTCACAATCTGTTGCCCTGATTAAACCCTTGATATCAGATAGAGTTGTTTTCGAGAAGTCAAACAGTTTCAAAAAACGGACAAGAAATCAAAACATTGACTTTTCCGAGGGTCATAACCTTTTGTGTAAAAAACTTTGGGCAAAGCCGCTAATGCAGAGTAGCTTCTAAAACCTGCTCTATCCATTGAACCCAAAATTTTAGATTTGGGAGGATAGTTTTGGAGTAAATGTAGAAAACCCAAAAATTTGGGTACCCCTACACACTTTTTCGAAGGCTGTAAAAAGTGGGGTAAGGTAAAAAGAGTGTAAAGAATTAAGCATGCACACAGGGGGAGTAGGCGGAATTCCCATCGGTACCACTTTTTGTAAATCGGTAGTAGCTTTTGAGAATAACTTAAATTTTTGAAAAAAGAAATCATTTTCCAAAGCGTCTCAAAAAAATAAAAACCCGATCCCTACAAATTTTTCATAATACCTGTTTTTATCAGACAGGAAAAACAGCTTTTGAAAACCAAGGTTGGACAGTAAGAAATCATTCGATTTACTGAAACATTCAGCTAACCAGAACAAATTTTAACCTAAAAGCCAATCTCAATGAGCCTCAAGCCGTCAAAACGCCAGTAAAACAAAGATATCGAGCCGAAATCAATTTCACTGAAAAGTTGGACAGGGCGTTGGACAGGGAAAAAGCAAACATCGCCAACAGATTGTTGAAAAAGAGTCAATGAACGCAAGTACACACAAAAAACAATGAATTGTAGTTGAAAAATTGAAACTTTGAATTTCCAAAAAAAAAATAGATAGCCTGAAGCTCTTGTAAATTCACACTTTTTTGATAATATTGTCACTTTTTTGATGCTTGACACTTTTTTGATAACTTTAGCTCAATTTGAGACACAGAGGCAAAACTTAGGTTTGCAAACAGTAGCGTGATCACGACAAAAAGCAGCTCTAGAAAGTGCAAGAAGAAAAATAGAAATAAGACTCGAATAACCAAAAATTCGGCTAGGTCTAGGATTCGATATGCGACCTACTGCAATCAAGACATTTTGAGTCTAACGACTAAACTTTCAGCCACGCACGCTTAACCACCGCCAAACACTAGTCACGAATAAAGCAAAGCAGCTACATATGCTAACAAATTGATTCAGCACCAAATACAAATAGACTCAATTTTGCAATTAATAATTTGGAATATAACAAACTGAAGGCATCCACACTAAGTTTGCATGTGACAAATCGCAAAGAAGAAAACCACATTGTGTATAAATTATGCATTTCAAAAATTGCGAAAAAATATTTAGTTAGAAAATTTCTGAAATCGAGTTTTCATGATTGTGTTGTTGGAAACAATAGCTTTTTTTTCGGTTCATTTGATGAATTAAATGCATCAAATATGTTAACTTATTACTAATCGAATGTCAAAATGCTGTAAAAGTATCCCAAAAGTGGCACCAATATTTGCGACTTAGGTAAGAAAAAAGTTCTTAAAAAACACTAAACTGACGCTAGTGGAAAAACTGAATCGATTGAGTACATTTTTATTTTGCTGGGATATCTGATAATTAATATTCTATTTTTGAAGTTAGAAGTCAGTCACGCTTCCGCTGTTCGCTAGTGGAGCTTGCTTTCCTTCTATCAAAGGAAGGAACTGAACTGAAAAAGGAATCAAAAGCCAACCGCGAAAAACAAACTTGGGCCTTTTCCTGAAAAAAAATCATCGCGAATTTTATAAGAGTATGAACTACCTTCATCGACTCTAAAGCAAACCGTTGAGAACTTATGCGCTGCGAACCAAGAATATTTATATGAGTAGCCTGTCGCTGTGCAAGTAATAAAGCTAACAATTTGAGTTTTCTGGGTGGCAAAAAAGGATGCGTCCCAGC